ATCTTCTATAAAATTATTCTAAATTATTGTGGTTCAAGAAGCTGCTGTTCCTATTTTTCACTGAAACATACCCATGGTAAAAACAATGATCTACAAGGCAGCAATTGGTGAATTATTTTCCAGCTATGTAGTCTAAGGTGAAATGATGCTGCGGTGAAATCAGTGTTTTGATTATCAGACTTTGCAAGTGAGAAGCCCATGAAACATTCCATCATTGCTGCAAGGCAGGTGAGAAGCTCAAAGCGTAATCTGGTACGCATGTGAGCATGGTGATCCTGTGGGTGCAGGCCAGCAGGGATATTCCATGTGGGACAGTGGCATCACAACAGGGTGAGCAGGATGGAGGCTGGGGCAATGGCAGTCTGACTGCAGCCTTCCAGCATCCCCTTCTTGAGACGAGTTTCACAGCTCAGCTGCTCACACTGTAGGCTTGTTGGGAATTTAACTGTAGGTTACATGGTCGTGTCACCGAGCATCCTTACAACAGTCCGTTAATAGTTAATGGTCAGACGTGTCCCAAAAGAAACAGTCTTACAGATGGAGTCTGGTGACAAGTAAGTGACACGTTTGAGCCTCCTCCAGTCCCTGACTCGATGTGACAGTCACATCCCACGCTGCCAGCCTTCCCAAGGGGTTGGGGTGGTAAAGGCAGATGGCTTTAAATGATCCCTGTTAAAGTCACTGACCCGTGAGTTTTGATAGGCTTGGCCGAGGTTAATGGTTTTGCTCTTCATCTGCAAAATGTTTTTGGTGGTATCAGTACTTTTGAATTGGTTTTGAGACATTCAGTCATTTTAATGGTATATTTTACTAAAGAGGAAGAAAATATTGTTTGTGAGGTTTATGCTTGACACCGTATTTGTGCCATTTTTAATACCATGTGTTTAATGGATCCTTGGATGACAGGTGGAGTATTTCAGTAATCCAGGTACCAAACATTATCATCTAATAGATAAATAACCAGACAAATCTACTAGTGTATCTTTCACATCTTCTGTACATTCCCGTACAAATGTACTATTAGCATTTAAAATCTGTAAAGTTTGATACTCAGCACATGTAGATGTAAAATGCCATAGCTAACAGTCACCATCATAAGAGACATTATTTATTTAGAGTGCTTTGTTAGCCTTGAGTTGCTGAGTAGGCAATCACCATGCAAAAATGGCAGCACATAGAGCAGGAATGTTTTTGATATTACCCTAACATCACGCTGGCATGAAAAAAGAACCTTTGGCTGTAACCATCCAGAAGTGTTGGTTGCAGTGAGTGAGGCCTAGGGTCAGGTCCATGGCTTCCATTGGTAACTTGGTCTCCAGGAAAGGAATTACTGCTTGGGCTCTTTTGTTGTGTTTGAAATATGTGTCTTTTCAGACCTGTCAGTCAGTGCAGTGTAAGTGCCCATTTAAGTAACATACAGAAGAGATTGACCTCAGAAACGTACAGCCAGTCCTACAGCCCTGGCTCTGATCTCATCAATAAAGCAGATCTGAATTATTCATGCAGGTTTTATGAGGATCACCTCTGAAAATGATCGATGGCGGTGAGACTGCAGAACTCATTCCTCCTTTTTATATCCAGATCATCTTCCAGTGGGATTACAGGAATGAAAACCAAAATTCATCTTCAACACTTAATTGAGCATTTTAAGAAATTGCTTTTTTTTTTTTTTTTTTTTGTTCATTTGGATTCTTCACATGCTATGTGATAAATTGTTCAGCAAATACTGAATATCTTAACTTCATGATATTTTAGATGCTTTAGAAGGCTAGATCTACTGGAACCTGTGCATTGCCTTTAGGAATGCAGCCCTAGCCAGTAGCAAAGAATGTGCAGGTGTAAATGTGAGGTAGAAAACAAAATAGAAGACAAAATACCAATTTCCATCTCCTCCTCCTCAAGTATTTAGGATTGCAGCTGTATCCCAAGCAAGTCTTTGGAAGTTTCTGCTGCTTCAAATTGATCAGCCAGATTAGCATTGTGGATATGAGAGGCTGCTTAATGTCTGGAACAGCCCTCCAAACATCCTGCCCACGTCAATTAGCGGGCAATATTTAAATAAGAGCTCTCCAATCAAACGTTGGAATCCTTTATTTTGGCTCATTACTTTCCAAGCACTCCTGTATGGTAATGAAGCACAGTTTGCTTTTGTTGTTCTGTGCATGTCGTAAGATATCCATGACTTTTTTTAATGTGAGCATGGACTTGCACTGTTTATACTGCTGTAACGTAATGTTGGAAGAACCTGAGACATTGGAAGATTCCCAGTGAGGCAGAAGGCATTGAAACCATTCTGCTGCAAGCTATTTCATTTTGACTCTAGGCTGTGGGCATTAACTGTGGGTGACCACAATTTGATGGCTGTCATGCTTGAAGAGGGCAAGCAGAGGCAGGGGCAGCAAGAAATCCCATTCTTGCTTACTGTGTGCTTGCCAGCCACAGTGACTAAGGGCTATTTTTTGTCCTAAAATAAGGGACGACTTCATAGCATGTGCTTTACAAAAAAAAAAAAAGGTAAGGTCAGTTCTGCGGCTGAGTTTCCTCAAGGAAGGTGGCAAAGAATTCAACCCAAATTACTCCCCTTGTTTCTTCCTGAGGTTAGTGCAGCAGGCTGGCAAGACCTCCAAGCCCCCAGATGAGAACAGGAGAACTCCAGCTCCCCTGGCTGCTCCTTGGCTCTCCCACCTCTCCCTGTCTGTACCTGCTGTAGGCTGTTCACTGTGTTCTATTGACTGCCTTTCTATTTACTGCTTGCTGGCTGTCTTCAAAGAGGTGAAAGAGATGGACTACAAGAATATTTCTAGTTATTTTGTACTCTATTATTATCATCATTTGGTGTCTTCAACAGTCTATATCTTTTTTGCCCATTGCATAAGAAAAACCAACAACAACAACAACAAAACAACCAACAAAAAAGGATGCAGATGTAAAGATACAAAATATACTCTCAAAGCAAGCTCCCATTGATTACCTAAGCTGGCCATTGCCTTTTGGAATGTATGAATGTATGTTCTATCCTACAGCTTTTAATTCCTTATTTTTTCAGAAATCAATTCTTCATGGCTGCAGTTCTATACTTGCAGAACCAAGTCATGCATGCCCCCTAAATGATGAGCTGGGACCAACAGTTCTGCAGTGTCCAAGACCCACGACTCCCTTCTTACCCTGCCTTCTCCTTGTCTGGAGCTCCAGAAGCATGGTATAGAAGATGAAACAGGCACTTCCCTTTGGCACAGCCTGCCCACCAATGGATCTGTGCCCACCACCACTGGCAGTCTGTTCTATGTTATGATCTTTAAGGCAGTGGGGTTTTTTTGTTGTTGTTTTTGTTTTTTTCCTGCATACCCTTTATTTCTGAGAGAAATGACATTATGAATAGAGCTGGCTGAAATATGTAATTTCCTTTTTACAGGAAATCCTGTTGCTCTGGGAAAATCTCTTGGTATGCTTTAAAAGTACAGCTATGGTCTTAAAAATATCCTATGCAAGAGAGACCAAGCAGTGTTTTCACAAGGGAAAGCTGAACTGGCTCAACACAGGATCTCATTTTCCTAGGATATGCAATGTAGACCTTGGAGTAATGTCCTCGTGTGTGCTTGCAGGCTTTGTGCTCTCTGCCATATTGCAGGCAGTGGCAAAGAATGTTCTTCTGATATTGAGCTTCCTTTCAGATTTCTTTTTTAAATGCCATATTTTGTTGGTGCAATTGCTTCCCATAACAAACTCAGCAGCATTTGAATTATGGTTAAGGCAGTTCTTTCTGGTTACATTGCTGCTTATGCTGGAGTGCATGTGAACGTTAAATGTATTGGATTGGAGCCTTTCCAAGATTATTAAATATTGGCAAAACAAAGATGTGTGCTGAAGCTCAGGTGACACAGACAAGCTCAACAGGTAGGAATTGCCCTTAATTCTGCTGGTTTGGATGATAGCATCATAGGTTTATTTTTATGACAGGAAATATTTCTCTACAAGGTAAATATCAAATTGCCTTTTCGCTTGATGCTTCGACTTATGAGTTTCCTGAACCATCTCAGTGGATGTAGGAGAAAATGTTGCTCTGTTGAATGACTATTGTGTAGCTTTGTTTATGGAAGTTCTTTGTTCTCAGCTCTCCTTAAAATATTTCAACTTAGGGCACAATATGTGTCTGAAGGGATATAATTCACACTGCTGCAGCCTGCCTCTTCCCATTCACCCATTCTGTAGCCTGATGACTGTGCATGGTTTAAGCACTGACACAGAGAGGTCTTACAGCCGTAGAAAGAATTGATACCCAGACAGTTTTGATGAGCAGTTCTCTAGGAAATGGTGTAAGCTTTGGGCAGACAAATTTCCCAAAAGATGAGAAAACCACCCAAAGCATCTGGTTGCATCAGGGAGAGGGGTCGTGATGTTCTGCAGAGTCCCCTCTGTTGCTCAGGCTGGTGGTTGTGGGTTCTTTTCTTACCCAGTTCACAGGAGATTTCCTGCTGTGACAGATTTCAGCAGGTGTAATAGGATGCAAATCCAGTACTTGTACCTCTGCTGACATCGATCTGCTTAAAATAATCATGAGCTTTAATAAAGAGAGCAGAATCTGGCAGCTCTGAGGTATCGTTTGACTTCAACAAAGTGAGAGGAGTCCTCGTTGCAGCAGGATGGCTTGTGGAGTGCTTCTGGTTTCATTTCACAGCAGGTTTGGTCCCTGCTGCACTGTCATGCTGAGTGTGGGCAGCCATGGGACTGCAGTCCAGCCTTGAAAAGAATTGCTAGAAATGGGCAGATCCCTTTTCCTTCAGGAAACTGTCAATTTGAACGATTGACAACACCAGGACTCAGCACATTTTATAGCTTGTCTCACCGTGTGTAACGAACCTGTGTGTTTATCTTTTGAAAAGGGCTATGGGAAAATTCTGCATTTCCAAATACAACTTGTCTCCTCCAAACATGAATCTTCACTCTACTCACTAGTCCTGCCTGCTAAAGGAAACTCTCTCTCTCTCTCTTGTTTTCCCCAGGAGCTCTGACTCAGAAGAAGCATTTGAGACCCCAGAGTCCACGACACCAGTCAAGGCTCCTCCATCACCTCCACAGCCACCACCCGACACAGAGGTAGCCATCGTAGCAGACATAGCAGAGCAAGAAATAAAGCCTCAGCTGCCCTTGGAAGACACAGGTAACAAGCATGCAGTATGGGACAGGTTGCTGCAGGAGGTGTTTGTGTTAGCAGAGACAAGGAACGGATGCTAACAAAGTGTTTTCTGGAAGATTAATGAGTTTATACTCATCTTCATCCACTACAAGAGGAAAAACCCAGTTGCTTGCTGGAATAAAGTACTAGAGAATCTGCCATAACATATGACAAATGTTCTAGAAAGTTCATCTTTTCTTTATTATTTTTTTCCATTCCCTTCTCCCATTACTTTAGGAGCTTTACTAAGAGAGATGCAGGTGCTGTTAACAGTGACAGCTAACAAAATGTCACTTTCAGCTGTCATCTGAAGCAGAACGGAAAGAAGAGTAGAACATCTAACAATAGTAATGAGCTCTTAGGTGCAGTACAGAAGTAACAAAGCAGTTCACATGAGTGTGCATGTAATGCAGATACATGAAAATGGTATACACTGACAAAAGAACTTTCAAGAAGAGAATATTGCATTAAAAAAAAAACAAAACAGAAACTTTTGTCTCTAAGAGAGTGTTCTTTGTTCTCCAAATTGAATAATAGAATTTGAGGGAGTAGAAGCACTGTATTAGCCCAAATTAGCTTTGTTTGGGTTGTCTGATGACAGCTGAGCAATTTAAGATTGAATTCCCCATTATGCTGTCTATTTTCTTATCCAAAAGCCAAGTCATCTTGATTACCTGGCTGAAATGTGGAAAGGTGATTTTACTAAAGCTCACTTGTGTTTCATATGCATAATGGAGGCTTTTGAGCTTTGTTTTCAACCTTAGGGGATATGACAAGTCATGGAAATATCCTGAGCTATCCTTATCTCTGTCTATCTTGAAAATATTTCTAGGGCTTATTCATGAAGTACTCTTGAAGATTGTTGTTATGCTAAGAGTTTATAAGAATGTGAAAGGACAAACTGGTCCCATAAAATAGAAATGAAATACTGAGATCTAGTAGTTTTTCCTTTACAGTTCTCTCTTCACTGTATCAAATGTTTCTCCATCTTCTTTCCTTTTTCTAATTTTAGTTTCCATGATTACAAAGTAAGTTAATTGCTGAGAGAACAAAAGAATCCTACGCTAAACAGGAATGGAGCATGTTTTTAATTACTGCAGTAGATTATCTGCAAGCCCTCGATTATGCATGTGCTTCCCTGTCACGTGTGATTCTTTTCTCCCTGTATCCCACATCTCTCCCTCCTTTCTGTCAGATATTCCTGAAGAAAGATAGGAAACTGATTATTTATAGCCAAACGTGAGCTATATTAAAAGCCACTGGATGGCAGAGATGAAAACATTTCATTTGAAAATAAGATTTTGTTCACGGGAGGCAAATTACTACAAACTGACAGAGCTCCAAAGTTATGCAATATGCAGTTATACAACAGGATGATTTATGGGAGAGAAGAAAGATACGTAATGCAGAAGAAGATCAAATGTAGGAGGGCAACGCAAAGCATTCATTTGTTTCTGAAATCTTTAGCAGAAGTTAAGAATACGAAGACTCTAATCTAGGTGTTTGCATGCTCCTTTGGTAATGTGACATTTTAGTTGAACATTTTGTACTCCATAAGCCACTGAGGAACAGTTATCCTGCAGTTCTGTTACCTCTGGGTTGTGCACATGGCTGCACACAACACTGAGCCCCTTTCTGGGGTTTAGGAGCAGCTGAAGGAGCGTTTCTCATTGCACCATACAGCTCACACAATAGCAATAAGGAAGACGGGCAGGCGAGGAGTCTGACATGTGGTGCAAGGCAGCAACGGCTGGCCTCGTGTCTTTGTCTTCTGTGGGAGGGGTGGAAGGAGGGAGCACAGTCAGTGCTCCAAGGATTATTTCATCTGTATCTGACAGTAATTATTGATGCAGACGGTTGCAGTTATCCTGCCTGCTTTCATTAGCGCAACAGCCGGACCCCACTGCTGGAAAGCCAAGAGGAGAGTTTTTAATTAGAACTACTTCAAAGCTTAATATATATGATGGGACCAAAATGCAGCTTGGTTCACCTGGCTTCATTCCAGCTCCCAGCAGTGTGAAACCTGCCTCGTGGCCGAGCCAGAGACCTGCTGGTGAGGGGAGAGGGCCAGGGGGCATGGATGGGGCTCAGGGAGCTGCACCCTGTAGTCTTCTGCATTACAGCCCACTTATCTCCAATGGGAGACCTATCTCCACTTCCTTCCTGTTCCAGAGGAATGGAAGTCAGCATTTACAGTACAGAGATGGTGATCCAGGCAAAATCCAGCTGAATTTTTGGTATGGAAAACTTTTTCTTTTTTTTTTTTCCCCTCTCCAAGCCTGGCACAGGAAAATTGAAAATAACATTTACATCTAAATTTTCTCCCAGAATAAATGGCTGGAGTATTTTTACAGTAATCTTAAAAATAGTGCTACCAACTGATTTCTTCAAAGGCTTCTCGTGACAAGCAGGAACTTGAAATAAGCAGTGCTTCACTATGTGTAATATTAAGTAATTCCGATTTCTATACGCTGTAGGCAAAGTATACTTGTCTGGTGAGTTATTTCTTTATCACAGAGACTGTGAGTATGTGCTGTATGCATTTTCCAGAGGTTTCCTTTTGCCTCTTTTTCTCAAGGAAGCAGAAATAGAGTTGTATTTCTTCTTGCTTTATTAGACCTGGCCAGGTTTTGTTTCTACATCTTTCAAAGTAGTGTTTTGCTTTGCCTCCAAGTCAGCAGCGTTAAGGCTTTTTATTTTCCAGTCTAAGCCTATTGGATTTCATTCTTATTTTAGAGACACGTCAACAAAGAACAAAACACTCTACTGTCCTAGCATGCAGCACAGCTCTAGCACTGGAACTGAACATAATTGAAGGGGAAGAATATGTAAAAGCAGCTGGAATTTCTTGATTCTATTTCCTCAATAGATATTCATTATTCATAAAGAAGCAGTTAAGATTTAGATTCAACAAGCTGGTAGCTGGTGGAGATGCATCATTTCTTTTCTGCTTAAAATATCTTTAAAGCATATTGGAAGATGCTTCTGTGGTTTTTGGAAGCGTTCCTTCGCCTGAGGTAACACTGGCTGTGTTTGGTGCAGATCCTCTCATCCCAAGGCCTCACTGCCTGGCTTCACAAAGCCTCAGCTTTTGTTGGTTTAGGGATTTTTCTTACCCTATCCAGGCAGGGTTCTTCTGCAGTCAGAAAGGTGCCCACATGGAAGGAGCAGTGTGTGGACCTTCTTTGTAACGAGATGAAGTGGGAGCTTTCTTTCAGGATTCGCCTGTTTTTTGGGACAAAACAGATTTCCCTGCTTTCACCTGTGCTCCTTAAAATAATTAGTATCTACCAGTGGGCATCTCTTACAGGTATCATTTGGGTTGAGTGTCAGTATCTTGCAGTGGGCCCCTAAAAGTCCTTGTTCAAGACTTTATGCTGTTCTCTCTAAGGCAAATCCTGCCTTCTTTTGCATAGTGCATTCCTCTGCCACCAAGCTGTATGTTAATGAAATACTGTAATTAGCAAGACTGTTTTGCTTAATCTTGTGATGTAAGAAAGCAAATGGCACGGATATGATTTTAACATCAGGAAAGAATGATCCTAACATGTCTTTGTAGCAATACAGTGTTGTGTTGCTCTGCAATATATACTGCTCACCTCTTCCCTCCCACATTCCTGCTGCTACCAGGGTGGAGCTGTGTCACTTGTGGTGCTGGAGGAATCAAGCAGCAGCTCTGCATTTCTGCCAGAAGCCCTGTTTTCTCAATTTCACATATTGTTCCATAGAGAAACAATGGAAACATCACAGCAGTGAGTCGAGCTGCGCTCTGCAGAAATCTGTACTGAGTTTGGTTTGAAGGAAACTGTGAAATAAGCAATTAAAGGGGTTAAAACTCTGCATTATGTGGAGCATGGAGGGTGCTGTACCTCCATTTGCTGCTGTGATCTGTTCCCAACCTCAGCTGTGCTGCGCCTGTCTTCTACATTCCAAGTCCTGCAGAACGCTGATTTTTTTAAATATATATAAAATAAATGTTTGCACTGACTTTAAACAAGAGACCTCAACCCTAGTGAGGCCTTCGGCATGTGCAGGAATGAAAATAACATGTAATTTCAGAAGACTGTGTTTGGATCTCCCTTTTATTTCATGCTGACCTAGATTTGGGCTCTGCTGACTTGTTAGAGCTATGCAAGTGCTTACTGCTCTGTATTCCAGCTAAGTGTCTTCCATTCCATTTCGATGTAAAATGCACAGTTTAGTACAGCGTGGGCTTTTATGGCACTGTTTGAGTCTGACCAGTGTCAGAAGTGAGAGATGTGTGTGTGAAGCTCAGCAAATGGTGTTTAATTAGTGACCATTCCACCAGACTGAAACCACGGACAACCCGGAGGAGATGAGGGAAATAATAAACTGTCCTGAAGTACTGCCAAGTTAATAGCATTCATTTCAGAAAAAAAAAACCAACAAAACAACCACAGTAAAACAATGTTTTTAATTCATGTAACTCAGTAAAATCCAATTCCTCAAAGACAATCCGTCTTGCTGTCATTCCTTTGAAAATGTCTGAATATATTTCGTGCTGCCCTAAGGAAATGTATCTGATTCCCTGAAGTTTCTTCCGTTCTCAGCATCCTTAAACAATAATTTCTATATGGACATAAAATTTCCTCTGAAATAAAGAAAAAATGCTCATCATCTGTTCATCATCCAGTCATGGCTTCTAACTAAAAGTACTTATTGATTCTCTGCCCGTATTGCTTTTATGGAAAAGATTAATGAATGGAGCTGGGCAAAATGGAAATTTGTTTTGCAAAACGTGTCAAGATTGAAGTGAAAAAGATGCATAGAAATTTTGCTGAAATCACTTAAGGATGGGCAAAGAACTCATTTGAAGTTGACAACATGAAAAATGCTATGTTGCTCAATAGAAAAATCTGAAGTGTTTTCTTTCAGTGCTCATCAGCAAGAGCTCAGCTGCTAAGTACAAAGCCAGCTAAGCATGTCCTGGGTAGGGAACTGAAGATTTCTGAGCTCTGCACACTTTGGCTGTGATACATGCATATTGGTAGAGGTGGCAGTGAGGTTCAGACATAGAACAGTGCAATGGCAACAGGAGCAACCCATATTCAGGATCAGTAAGGCATTTTAGTAATGAATTTTCAATGAGATAGAAGGCAGCAATCTTAATCATTATCTTAATCCTCTCTTACTTTCGTATTTTCTGTCCTTTTGATATACACTGTGTGCTTGTCTGTTTTGTCCAATATAATTGTTCAACAGAACTTTTTAGGATTCTGTTCAGCAAGCAAATGCTTAGCTACAGTGAAAAGATGCTCTGTTGGACAGTTCTAGAATATAATTTTGAATTAGGACTACCCTTTGAGAAATGTTTTGAATAATCAGTGGGGAGCACGTAATGGTCATTCTTATAGAAGATATGCAACTGAGAGTATTTGTAGAGTTGTCTGATTGATTTCTTTTTTAATCTTTAACATAATCTGTTTCATACGGAATTCTCAGTGATGGATGTCCCATTATAAACTTGAAATTATGAGGTCAAAGTGGAACGTATTGACTGCTTAGGGCAGACAGGAGCAGCCTTGATGTCTCGTGGAGAGGAAGCCATGTGCCATTGTTTTTTCCTCTGGGAAATTAGTAAGAATAGAACATGGGAAACAAAACTTAATATGAACATGCAGTTGCTGAAGCACTGGCCAAACTGTGAGGAAATTTATTGTAAAGGGACACTTGAAATTCACTGTTTTCTGTTTCTTTCCACAGGATTACCTCCTGAAACTGCCCCTGTCACTGATGTGTCACACACTGAGTCAGTTGAAGAAAGCCCTTTCCGTCCCCCTTGCCATTCTTTTTCCACCGTCTTCGATGAGGACAAGCCAATAGCCAGCAGTGGAACTTACAACTTGGACTTTGATAACATTGAGCTGGTTGATTCTCTCCATGCCTTAGGACCGAGCTCTCCAGAATTGAAGAATCGTGACCCCAAAGCGAATGTTCGAAGAAAATCTACCGATTCAGTGCCAGTTTCCAAATCTACATTATCTCGGTCTCTTAGCTTGCAAGCTAGTGATTTTGATGGAGCATCCTACCTTGGCAACAGCGAGACACTAGCGCCGGCAGCAGATGCTTATGGTACTGGTTCAAGCAGTGCTTCCAGTACACTCAAGCGAACCAAGAAATCCAGGCCCGCTTCCTTAAAAAAGAAGCAGCCAGCAAAAAAATCCCTGGACGCTCCGCTGGTGAAGGAAGCGCCACAAGAGCCTCCTGACCTTGGCCAAGCAGCTTCTGCGGGTGAGGAGAAACCAGCACCCGAAGCAAAAGCTGCCTCAGTAAAACCTGAGTATACTGACCCTTCTAAAACCTCTGCTGAGAAACAGGAGGCCTCTGCTGTGCCTGAGGGATCCTACCCTTTGGATCCAGACAATTTGGAAGGGATTAGTGCTTTTAGCACTGGAGGCAGCAAAGTGCAAAACTCACCCCCTGCCAATAAGAAAACGCTACCTCTTACACCTGCACCGGAGGCTGGGGAGGTGACTCCGTCGGACACTGGGGGACAAGAGGACCCTCCAGCCAAAGGTGTTGCAGTGAGGCTGGAATTTGACTATTCGGAAGAAAAAGGGATCTGTGAAGAGCAGCAGGAGAGCACTCCTCCTCCTAAAAAAGCAGGTAAAAAGCCTGGTGCTAAAATGCCACTACGGAGGCCAAAGACTAAAAAGTCCGTGGAAAAGCTTGACAATGCTCCGACTACACCGACGAAGGCACCTGCTGATCCAAACGAAATCCCGATCACAAAAGGATCTTACACTTTTGATATTGACAAGTGGGATGATCCCAATTTTAATCCGTTCTCCTCCAGTACAAAAATGCAAGAATCTCCCACGCTGCCTCAACAAACATACAGTTTTGAGCCAGACATGTGCGAGGACTCCATTGACCCTTTCAAGTCTTCTTCTAAGATTGCCAACTCACCCACTAAATCTCCAGCCTCCTTTGAGATACCAGCCAGTGCCAACGAAACAAACGGAACCGATGGAGACAACTTGAATAAACCTGCAAAAAAGAAGAAGACGCCACTAAAGACGTAAGTTAAAGGGCTCGGATGTTTCTGGATTTGAAGCAGCACACTCCTACCCATAGCATAGTTAGGGTAGTTTTGTCCTTGACAAGAGAAAGGGAGATGCTGTTGAGTGCTGCTTACTGCACAACTGACTCATGTTGTACCTGCTTTCCCTCAGCCTGTTACCTCGGTAGCGTGGCATTTCCAGATCAAAAGGGAGAACCAGCAGTGAATCAGTCCTGATGAGGTCACTGGTCTGGGAATTGAGTTTTTGAATCTCGGGGTCCAGTGTAGCTTTCAATCTGATTAAGTCCCAATTTTATCAATTTTGTGTCAAATTTTTTGATGACCTCGTTTTGGAATTTGAAACTGCTTAAGATGATTCACACCAGTAAAGAGTATTTTATGAATCGTAGTTTTTGAGTGAGGAATGGAACAGTAAGACAAGAATAAATCCTCTATTGTACACAGCAAGTTTTATCCAATGATTTCTAGTATTTTGGTAAAACTGGGCTATTTAAAGATTATATGGTTAATGTAAAGCTTGCAAAGAATGTCTTCCCTAAAGGAGTTGGGAGGTTGAAACCAATGTGCAGAAGTCTGACTGCAAGAGAGGAACAACTTGAATTGTACTTGGGAAAAGAGGAGAATTTTTATGTCACCAGACCCCAGAGTCCAATATTTACAGCCAGCCAGTAGCTGGACCCCTGGTATAAGCTTCTTGGGTCCACCCATCTGCTCTGAGTATCGGAACCAATTCCAAAGTTGTTAGTTTTGGGGTGATGTGAATTTAAAAAGAGTTTGTAGATTTTTGTAATCCTTTTTTTTCAGAAGGTTGATAAGAATTTTCTGCCCTTGTTTGGAGCTTCTTTCACGGCATTATAATAGATATCTGCTCACTGCAGCCCTATAACCTACTTTTGCAAGTGGTTTCTAACGAAGGGGATCTGCATGTTAATGCACAGCGCTGCCTGCAGCTCTAACGCTTTCTAGAAGAAAATTGGCCTCAAGCTTGCTAGAGGATGCTGTGGGAGGCAGTGGCTATATTTGTCTCTGCCTGTCACTGCTCTCTGTAACAAGGCCCCTTGATATGACTCTTCTATGGGATCCAGGGTAGGAGAACCCAGCATGGGCAAAGATACTGCCTGCTGGACCCTCCTTGACGGTGCCTCCTCAATAGGATAGGAGAGAGAAGCCAGTGCAAAACACTGCTCTGAGCTGTTGATAGGTGTTGGAATTAGAAATGATACTGTAATATATCCAAATTAAAGAATTTTGCCAAGCCAGGTTTTCTGTTGTTGTTTGCTTGCTTGTTTTCTGTTGAGAGTTGCAGAAATAAAATTCCATAGGCCAGATTGAGAATGTGTTCATCATACAGAAAGACTGCTGTTGTTAGATAAGACTTATGAGAGGTGAAAGAGCCAGGCATGAGCGTAAGTCATTGCTAAGTGTGCACTACTATGGTGCTGTACACATGGAAACACGAGCTTTCTACAATGGATGTCAGCTTGATGCAAATCACTCTCTGTTCACGTGCTGAAGTGCTGAGCTGTTTCGTGATGGATCATCTTGCTCAGATGAAAATGAACAAAGAGCAGCTGATGCCTCCTGAGTCCCTGCTCAATGCTGTATCCAGATAGGTGGTTTGTGTCAACATGCCTCCCGAAGGAGCTGGGTGGTTGGAGGCTGTCTTTTGGAAATGCAGCATGCCAGCTTCAGGAGCCTCGCACGTGAGGAATGGAGCAGGAGCTGCCAAGCTGAGTAGTAGTGCTTTCCTTAAGCTTAATTGCCGTTCAAGACAGTCTGACATCCCTTATCCCTAACAAGCAGTAGTGTGCTTTGAGGAGAAACAGGTGGCTGCCATCAGGGAAGGCAAGAATGGTTCATTTGTTGATGAGAATTTAGTTCAGTGTCTTCAGCTTTGACAAATGCTTTGTAAGATGAATGCATGTCTGAAGTATAAGGTTGAATTTAAAAAGAGTGGAAAACTTAAGTATTAATATTTTTTCTTCTGAAACTGTTGCTCAGTAAAAAGTAGAGGTTCTGCAGGTAGAAGATATGCATGATCAGATTGCCGTAACACATTAACAGTATTTGTAGGTTTATCTTTTTTGTCAGTTCCTTCTGTCTGTCTCTCTTTTCTTTGTCTTATTTGTCTTAGGATGGTAGAAGATGTGATGTCTGTATGTTCTCTGTTGTAAGTAATTCTAAGCTAACATTTCAATTTTCTTCTTTGATTTATGGGCTTTTTAATTTTACTCGTTTATTTTGCAGCATGATCAGTTATTATTCAGCATGAAGCTCTTGTGTTAACTGTGTCACTTCACTGGCACATATGAAAGCTTGTTTAAGGAAAGCTCCCATCTGTGAATGAGTTAGAGGAATCTAATGCCTCATTATCTGTTTGCCTGTCAAAGAAGATCCTCTTTTAAAAACTGCAGAATTCCCATCCTAGAGATAATACAGCAGTTTTATTCCTACCATCACACAAAAACATTGTACAATCCATCTTTCTTAAATACTGCATGATTTATTTCTCCTTAAGGGAATAACTTGTCCTAATTATTTCTAGCATCCTACCTAGATCGTTAGTAGCACCAAACACCCTAATATTCAGCTGCCCAATTAATTTTTCCCTATAGAAGTGGTATTGATTTACCCTCTTCCAATTGATAGCCACTACTACAATTCACAGTGCTGACCTTGCTACTCACTGTCAGGAATGAGCTGATGGGCAGTAACTTTTGCCACTGCCCCTCAAGGTCTTACATTAAATCTCTATCAACGAGTTGGATGTTTTCTGCCTCTTTTAGTCAGTAGCAAAAACGTGTTTGAACAGCTGTGGCAACATGCATGAAGATGGTAGATAATTGGTTGATGTTCTCGTTAGAAAAGGCTTTAAACCAATTGTGAAGGAAGATAAAGCCAACATTTATAGTTACACACTTCCATATAACATAAATTCTTCGTTCTCTTTGCCTGATTTAAACCTGTGGGATTTTTGGACGGCTACAGTGTCTGCACTCCTGGTTTGCTTTGTGAGCTGTTGGGCAGTGGAAGCAGCATTGCCATATTTGATGCTGTATTTATTTCAATCATAGAATGGCCAGGGTTGGAAGGGACCTCAAGGATCATCAAGCTCCAATTCTCCTGCCACATGCAGGGCCACCAACCTCCACATTTAATACCAGCCCAGGCTGCCCAGGGCCCCATCCAACCTGACCTTGAACACCTCCAGGGATGGACGGGGCATCCACAGCCTCTCTGGGCAGCTGTTCCAGCACCTCACCACTCTCATAGGAAAGAAGCTCCCCCTGACATCCGACCTAAATCTTCCCTCCCTCAACATAAAACCATTTCCCCTTGTCCTGCTGTTATCTACCCTTGTAAAGAGTTGACTCCCCTCCTGTTTGTAGCCTCCCTGTAGGTACTGGAAGGCTGCAGTGAGGGGGGATATCTCAAAGGGAGACATTTATCATGTCTGTTGGTAAGGATGGAACTTTGTGCTGCAATTTCAGCAACGGCATCCTCTGCAGCCTTTTTTTATGTCCTTTGCCCAAATCATACCCATTTCTTTCTCATTTCCATGCCATGTGGGGTGATTGGAGCTTACTGACTGAGTCTGTCAGGTTTAATTCCCAGGTCATTCCTGTAAAGATATGTTTAGGGCTTTATTTTCAGATGGGAAACTGGAGCAGACAGAAGTTAAATAATTTGCTTAAGGCCACTGAAGATGTCTGTGCTGGAGCAGAGATTTGAATTGCAGTGGAGCAGCAACTCTGTTCTGTAAATAACATTCTGTCAGTAGTTAGCTGGAAAAAAACCCCACATTTTTTCTGTGAATTTAGAAATATGGCAATCCTGCTTTTCTCAGCTTTTTGGGTATCAAGGTCTGTTCCAAATGCATGACAAAAGTATGTACCTCCAGCATGTTTCTCTGTGGTGCTGCTGCCTAATGGATGGGATTTAAAAGCAGAAGGGCTTACAGAGAATGCACTTTCTGTAGCTGTCTCTCGCTAAGTGTGAAATGAGCCATTTCTTTCTGCTATTACCATGCTAACTGTCTTAACTTTGTTTTTAGTGATACATTTAGGGTGAAAAAATCACCAAAAAGATCTCCACTATCTGATCCTCCTTCTCAGGTAAAGTACTGCACCGTTGTGATACATATATTCTTGCAGGGGTGAAGAAGAGACATTTTGATTTACAGTTGTACATTTAATAACAGAAGAACTTTGGTAAAGAATGTAAGCATACTGGTGTCCAAGTAGAATGTGTGGGGCTGTAATCATGAGGTATTAAGCTTTTGGCATCTATGCAGTATATATTGCTCTGGGAATCCCAATTAGGCTATTATCAAGTATGCTTTGGAGCGGCATACATTAAAAGAAAAATTAAGCCAAGCATCCACCTTGCAGTTTTTGTATTCAGAAGTAAGAAGCTAGACACACTGGGCTGAGAAGGAAAACAGAAGTAAAACAAGAGGGCTGGTCTAGCAGGAGCGCGTGCTTGGAAGGCTCTATTCCTTGCTGTAAACAGCCAGCAGGTGGTTCCCTTAGAAGGGAGGTAACAGAAGCTCTCTGTGTGTAAGGGCCCAATTGCTTTGATGCAGCACTGCTCCTTCCACACTGCTGCCTGCCTTCTTCTCCCCCATCTTGCCTTCCATTGATGCAGGTCGATGGCATAGAAGTGCAGAAAGGGTTTGTGACCTCACAGTCCTACACAGACTTGCTCCTGCAAGGGAAGCCTAAAAAGTCAGCTTTGCTCCTCTAAGTCTTCAGTCCTGACAGTGGGTGCAACTTCTGTCAAGTGTTTAAAGGGTTTAAACGGCTCCAGATTTTCTTTCTGCCTTGTTATCAAGGCAGCTTTGCAATGTGAGTGTTTGCCATCAAAGAGCTCAGTAACAGGAGGAAGGCTTGTTGCTAGGGCAGTTCTAAATGCAGCACTTTATTTTTCGGTAAGCATTTTAGACAGGGCTGCAGTGAAGAGCGTGGAATTAAAAGGATGACTGCAGTCAGGTGGAGGAATTCAGAGCTGACCATACAACTTCTTGATGAAAGATAACAGGATTAATCAGCCCTGTTTTCTACAGGATCCCACCCCGCTGCCTACCCCAGAAACGCCTCCTGTCATATCTGCAGTGGTTCATGCAACAGATGAGGAGAAACTGGCAGTGACCAGCCAGAAATGGACCTGCATGACTGTGGACCTGAGCACGGACAAGCAGGATTACCCACAGCCCTCTGATCTGTCCACATTTGTCAATGAGACCAAGTTCAGCTCTCCTACAGAGGGTATGCTGTATACTGGGCTGTCTGCATCCAGCTGGTGTTATTTTGGGGAACTCTACAGTGATGCTCTTTGGATCAGGTTGAGGAGCTTGGCAGTTATGGGGGGCTGAATAAATGGCCCAGTAATCACATCTTGAGTTTTCAAGTGAGGGTAGAGGGGCAGCTTAAATGAAAGAGCCCGTCGGAGCACTGACTTTTGCTTTCCTTTTATTATTGATTATAGAGTTGCCGTGTGCTTTGGGTGCTGCCTGTGTCTTCACAGGGCTGAGCTGCTCTCTGTCAGTGCTCTTAGATCTGCAGCAAGGATTTTGCCCAAGCCTGTGTCTATAATGTGAATGGGAGAAAATGTGGTTACAACTCTGCTCAAAGTTTGTACATTAGGGCCCTTAACTTACTCCTCCCTTCAGGCTGCTGGGATCCAGGTTTCTATATGCACAGAAATACCCAGGATATCCTTTGGGGAAGATAGTTATTCAGGTGCCAAGTCAAATCACCTGAAGTGTCAGCCTAAGATCTTTTTTCTGGTACCTTACTATAAGCAATTGTGAGACAAAGCTGGAGGCTTCTGTGATTGAGGGTTGTCATTCCAGGTCTGTGAAATGTGGAAGAGAGAATTTAGCCACTTGGAAATCTGTGTGTGGCCTTCGCTGGGGTTAGCAGAGGAAGCACTGCTCTGCAACATCTGCTCAGAGGGCAGATTTTCAGCTTTGAGGGTGGGAGGAATGCATGAGTTTACCTTGGCTTCAACTTTTTCCTCTCAATCAGATTTCCTTATTTTTCCTAACCTTTTAACCTGAGTCCCAAGCTAACACTAAAGCTGTTCTATACCATTTGAAGAGTTTTTGCTTGATTAAGAACTGCTAAGCTTTTAGGTCAAATGTGTTTGATATTAAAAGGCATGAATGATAAAGCTGCTTGTGGTGGGGCTGCACATGTTCATACACACGTGCTTATGTATTTGCACAGCCTGGATTTCATGGAAATCTGTTGAGTCTGCTGTTCAGATAAGGATGTCAGTCTGGATTAATACATTTGATTTTATGATCAAGTGAGAAAGAGAAAGCCAAGGAGTATTTTTTTAATAATAACCTCCCAAATATTGGAAAATGGAGGTTGTATGAAAGGAAATGGAACAAAAGGATAGCGAGAGACTGTAAAGCAATCACTTGAGCTATCAAAGTGGAAGAAGAAAGTGTGCAAAGCTCCTAATTAAATGCTAATTGTCTCATCTCGTGTGCTGCATGGTACAGTTGGAGTTTCAGATTACATGCTAATTATAATCAACAACGCTTCCGCTTTTCAGATCTCTTAAAAATAATCATTTTCTTCCCTTGGCAGGCTTACTACTGCTGCTCTGAGGAATGTTAGAGCAGTTTCAGGGCTGTTTCTCAGCGCTGTTTCTCTTTCACCCCTCCCAGACAGTGGTGTGACTGTTACCCTGTAACCTAACACTGCTTTTGTCCCAATACAGCCCAACCACAGAGTGAGCCCGCACATCCAGCACTCGTCTGTTGCACTCTGCTTATAGCTGCTGCCTTTTTTTTTTTTTTTGGCCATTTCACAGACCAGAAATAAGCAGTAATTATTAGCAGAAAGCTGTGATGTAACCGTGCAGCTATTTGTAGGAGGAGTTGAAGAGCATCGCTTAGTAAGTCTGCCATATGCATTTGTAAAAGATAATTATCTTACCTCGTATGATATCCTGGGCATTGGTAGATTTTGAATGCATGGAGATAACTGGAGCGTGAGATTCTGGAGGGGAGATGGTATCTTAGAGGTGATACCTGGGAGAGGAGATGCTATCTAACTGTGAGTCTAATGAGACGAAGCTACACCGCGTTTAGCAAGCCATGTTCTTCCTTTTGTTCCTTGTTGAGGTGCTTCCATCTGCATCCTGCTTCCTTAATCAGCAAAATTGTGTGCTATCCCAGAAGCAGGCTGAGGCTGGAGGCAGCTGCAGGCTGACAGCCCCCCATAGCAGCAGAGGATGGCGGTGGCACAGCGATGCTGCACAGTCTGCTTCTGGGCTCCCTTGGGGTTGGTTGGGCTGTGAAACTGCCCCACAAGTACTGTGCTGCTCCTTGCTGGGCTCTAGGAAGCAAATGAAACGTTTCTTCATTTCTCCTGCAGTGCGATGTCCAGCAGGTTGTTATCAGCTCCTTGTTTCAGTTTTGGCTTTGCTTTCTCTAAGAAGAAATTCGTGTCTGATACCTGGAGGTTGTCTGCCTCACCTGGCTTCTTATTACCATTAAAACACATGGTGCCAGGAATTTAAACCAGCCAGGAGCCTATCATAGCATTCTCTTAGGTATTTTAGTATTAATATCTCCCAAATGTCATTTTCTGTGAGTTTGTGGTTGTTTTGCAAAATACATAGGTTGTGGAATTGCACTTCTTGTTCTCTCTGATGCTTTTTACTTAAAAAAAAAATATCTAAGAATGTAAGAGATTGTTTTTAGGGTTGGTTTTGCTTGTAAAGCATAAATGTTCTAATGATGGCTTTCATCTTCCTGATACAAGCCCTGCTTTTCAAAAGCTGCCCAAATCTATAGGAACTTTTGTACATGCTTTTATCTCAATGCAAATGCATTCACTAGGACCTGTTTATAATGGAAATGTGGTACGTGGTTTATTGGGTTAGGCTCATGGCAACAGGGTAAAATATGGAATTTGGGCAAATAATTATGGTTTTAATTTTTAAGTTATGGTGTAACTGGACAAAATCTTTGTTTTTGCTTGGGTCCAGGAAGATATGCTCTCCTTTCCTGTAGAGGTAATGGCTGTTTACATGGGTGGACGGTGATAGGACAAGGGGAATGGTTTTAAACTGAGACAGGGGAGGTTTAGGTTGGATATTAGGAGGAAGTTTTTCCCCCAGAGGGTGGTGAGGCACTGGAACAGGTTGCCCAAGGAGGCTGTGGATGTCCCATCCCTGCAGGCATTCAAGGCCAGGCTGGATGTGGCTCTGGGCAGCCTGGGCTGCTGGTTGGTGACCTGCACACAGCAGGGGGTTGAACCAGATGATCACTGTGGTTCTTTTCAACCCAGACCATTCTAGGATTCTATGATTATGATTCTGTGATTCCATCTGGCTGTGTCTTATCAGTCCTCCTCTCTCATCTCACCCCTGGAAGATGATGGATTGGAAAGAAATCTGGTTATTCCCAGCAGTCTAATTAGGAGATGAGAAGTAGAGCAGCAGCAAAGATTTGCATGTTTTTTTAAGGTCTAGATTTAGGGCTCTTTGTAAACCAAGCTTCCCACCTTGGATTTTTCCTCCATGATTAAATGTGACAGCAGCCAAACAAGCTGGGCTGTGGGCTCAGCCCTGTTCAGTGAGTGTGCAGGTATTTGATGCATCTTTCTTATCTCAAGTGATACCACAGTTGTTGTTCTTAATTTTGAACTATGTGATACACATTAGGAAATGTATCGTTTCATTTCATAACAGCTTGCTACACCTTTTTGCATATCTTAAAGGCACATGGTATCAACATTAACAATAATTGAAAAGTGTGTTTTCTGTGATAAGATAGAGGAAAGTTACCTGCTCTGAAGGTGCTCTGGAACTGTGTTAATATTCTGGGTGCTGAGGCAGAATGCTGGGTAAGCTGATAAAGCAGACTTTTTTCTGGCAAATACGTTTGCTTGAAATGTGTCACAGGTTCACTGCTGAAAATCAATGGAAGTACATCTTCTGCTTTCTCTCTGTATATTCTATTTTTAATATATCATAGGAAAGTATTCAGAGTGGAAGCAGGCCTTGTAAATGAGAACGTATCTCATCTACTTATGTAAAAATCATGTGATGGCATCTATCTAATGGCTATTTTTTTGTTTCTGTTGCAGAATTGGAATATGGCAACTCATATGAAATAGAATATATGGAGAAAATAGGCTCCTCTGTGCCTGTAAGTTCTCACCCCATTTTCATTCATTCGCATTCCCCTGTTGTAATGCACTGTCCTGATAATGCCATCAACCTCACTACCCCTTAAATTAATTATGAAGTGCCTCCAGCAGATTTGCAAATCCAGTTTCTTTTAAATTGGCATAACTGGGGTAAATTGCATGTGCTGTGTTGTCCTATATCCTGTAGAGCTTGTTCCATTTTATTTTATTTTAAGCTAGGATCATAGCAGTTCTTTCTGGAGACTAAAAGGAACTCAGTAGTTCCAGCAGTGTAGAACACAGAGCTGTCTACACCAGCTACTGAACTATTTTAAGAAATGGAGAGCAGAACTTTAAAGAAGATGGAGAGAATCCTGGGAGAATACAGAATGAATGTCAAGTATGGAATGCAGCACTGTACATTGTCATCAGCTGTTTGTCTTTCCATTCAATTCATGGATTTGGTAGCTTGACCACATCCAGTGGGGACTTAGAAAAGCCAGGGGTTTATGTCAAGTGCATAAACTAATGTGAGTAACGTTGTGTTCAATGAATATTGTGGTAACTTTCAGTCAACAGATGCCTCCAGCCTGACAGGACCAGAAATCTGATTAACCCCAAAGAAGGAGAGAAAGAACCATTACAAAGAGTGAACCACTTAGGTTATGTTCTTCATCGATTTCTTCCTGCAAGGGATCATTTTTTATCAGTATCACTTAGCACAGGGAGGATTACAGTCCTGTATTGTTAGCTGTTTGCCAAGTCATTCGGTCACTTAAGGCAGTGAATTAGCTTCAATGGAGAACAGCTGAATTGCTTAATGAGTCTTTCTCTTCCTGTTGCCAGCAGGATGATAGCACCCCGAAGAAACAATCTTTGTACCTAATGTTTGATGCACAGCAAGAGAGCCCAGTCAAATCGCCTCCGGTCAGACTGTCTGATTCCACCACGCCATGCTCAGGGTATGTCACTGCAAGGCAAGCAGCAGTGGAAAGGGATGCCAGGGAAATAGGTTGCCGTCCCAACACGCAGGCAGGCAGTTATTCCTCTTTTCTGCTTCTCTGTTGCAGGGTTGTTTGTTTATAAATAGATTCCCATCTGCGTACACTTATGACAGAGAACAGAGGGCAAAGGTACAGAAGTTGTGCAATGGGAAGGAATAAGCACATGTATTTCTCCTTTATGTTCTTACTGAATGGAGTCAGTCATAGTGGCAGCAGTTTCACAAGGCTGTGGCTTCCTGCTTAGGTTTTTATTCTCGGATACTGAGGTCGTTTTCATGTCAATCTAGAAACTATTTAATTGCAACTTCTCATTTGGCCTTTCCTAGCTATATTTTCTAGAAAGTGAGTCTTGTTCATAAGAACAGCGTGTGTGGGTTGTGTTTACTTTCCAAAAATTTTGCTCTTTAAGGACATCTGTTCTTCTTAGGAACATTTGTTTGCTGGGAGAGATGTAGGTCATGGTGAGAAAGGGGTAAAAGGCAAGTGAGAAATATTTGAGGAATGTTCTTAACCTTTCTGATGGAACTGGGCTTATTTAGATGACTCCAGCGTGCAGCTTTGAAAGGATACTGCGAAGTGTTATGAGATAGAATGATAGAAAGATGAGCTGAAGCAGTGTTTATATTTATACACGTGGAAATAATGAAGAGGACATACTTTGGTGTTACCAGAAGCAGAACGATGAAGGTCTTGTGCTCCACCCTGAAAGTGTGCATACAATCCTTTCTCAGGTCAAGTTTTGAAGACCCTGAAGCCCAGCAATCCTCTGGAATGAAAATACAACATCCAGCTTCTCGAGTCCTTGCTGCCAGCCAAGAGGCACACTTACAGTCACCAGACAAGTCCAAACAGAAGGACTTAGAGCCCATGACACTAGGAACAACCCCAGAGACTATTGAAATAGTAAGTAATTTATGTTAAAAGTTTGGGAACCATTTTGTTGTAGAAAATTCACATCTTATAAAACTCAGAACAGGTGGATCTCACAAGCAGAGCAAGAACTTGGCCTCGTACTCTTAGTAGCAGCATGTGGTAGGACCCAAATGGAAGTTTGATGGAATTCAGAAGAATTTTACTGTACTTTAAAATGCTCTTGTGATCACTTATTCCAAGCCGACATTTTGAAGTGCTTTTTCCTTACATGGAGTTGTTTACACTTCAACTCAATTTTTGTGGCGGTATTTTAGTCATAAATTAGGTTTTCTATAAAAACGTAGGACCGTGGTTTGCTCTGCTGTGTGTGGTGTAAGATTTCAAATTTCTGTTGGTAAAAAGAGGTGCATGTTCAGGTTTTCTTAAGAACTTTTAACTCTGTTGTTGTCATCTGATGCTGATAATATAAAAACCACTTTTCTGATCATCAGAACTCAGCCCAGCTTCCAGTGGCATCACTTTTTTTCAGTGGCTTCTCTGGTATTGAGTGAGCCCTTTCGTACTTCAGGCCTGCAGTGCTTACTGACTTCAGATCATTGGTTCTCAAATACATGAAGGTTCCTTTAAGCTCACCTTAATACTGTGCTTCATTTATAATCTTTAATGATGCTGTTGATACCATCTTGCAAGGAATTAGCTTGATGAGTTTTCAAGCTAAGTTTTCAATGCATTGCGGGTGCTCAAGTGCCTGAAGTCTATTTTTCTCATTGTACTTCTGTCCAGCTTCATGTCATGTATTTATCCTGAGCATGTTACAATTGTGAACACATCTTGGTTTATCTCCAATGAGCAGCACAAGATTTGGAAGAAGAGTCTTGCTCGTTTTCCCCCTCAGTTTTGGTCATCTTCAAAGCTTTTATCAGAGATATCAGAGATATCAGAACAGAACAAAAGCTATTGTTTGAACAAGGCACATGTTAGTAGATGTATTGAGAGTGTGCTGTGATCCATGGCTTGGGAGCCATGATTTTAGAGGTCTTAATGCCGCTAACTTCATATTAGTCTTAAAAAATTTACTCAGTTTATAAATTGGGAATAATTATTCTTGATGTTTGTCTGTTATAGCTATGAGCTGTGTATTCCAAAGGATTTTTCTATGAAGAATGAAATTATGAGAAATCAGGGATTTGCAGACACGTTGCTTTTAGCTTAAATTGCTTGGGCAATCTCTGTTGATTATTCTACGCTCTTCTTATCCTTCAGACATCTCCTGAAGACTCCTTTGTCTCTGCTGATGCTCTTCTCAACAGGATATCTAAGAAAACATCAATATGTGATCAACCTGAGTATCTAGATCCTGACTTAGCTGAAAAGAACCCCCCAGTATTTGCTCAGAAACTTCAGGTTTGTAGCAGAAATATAAATTTCTCTTTTCCTTTGTCTATGCTCTGTGGAGAATGTTTTACCTTGAGTGAAAGGGGTGGGAAATGGCTTGGATTGGAGGGTGGGAAAGAAAGAAAGCAATGAAACTAAGGAAGAGAAATATTTTAATTTAATTTATGCAATACATAAAATTGAACTTAAAGTTCCTTAACAGTTTCCTCTATCCAGTAGCTCTGATGCATACATTTTGAAGTCTTTATAAAGACAACTCTAGTCCTATAAAGCCCTAACCATATAAGGCTTGAACACAGGACTCCATGTGTGGAGTGTGACCCTGACACCTGACCTTAGTAGGTCTGTATCTGTAGGTCCGTTTTTGGAGATGAAGATCCTAATTCTGCTGAAATGGAAATTAGGATTTACTCTAATAATCCATCTGATGCACAATTTGGTGTGGCTTCTTCTAGGAAAAGCAAATCCATCTGCAGAGCAGTTCTGTGTGTCAGGACCTATTTTCCAGAATATTCACAGTGAAACTTCAAAGCAGCAAAGGTTGAATTGGGGGTGGCAGCTGGCATAAGTTCACATAAAATGAGAATGGAAGCAGAGAAGCCTGGAAAAACGGCTTCAACTGCAGAAAACATTTTTTTTTTTTTATACAAGCACTTTATCCAAACTTACTTTCTAATAAAAATTGCCACCTCAGAACTACCCACAAAGTGACATTTTGCACCAAAGCTCAAAACAAAGGTAATACGGGATGTTTGTCACCCAGGAATTGCCAGAATTGCACATCAATTGCAATCAAGAACATTCAGTTTTTTCACGCGTTCAAGATTTTTGCTGTGCTCTTAAAACATTTTTTTCTGTGGATTACTGATGACCAAACACTTAACAGGAGGAGTTAGAGTTTGCTGCAATGAGGATAGAAGCCCTGAAGTTAGCCAGGCAGATTACCCTGTCTTCTTTCCGCTCCTTAGATGCCGAGGTATCTGTTTTGTGCCTGCCATGTGTGTGAGTGTGCACAGAGACTAAGAAACAGTGCTGCTTTTTCTTTAACAAGGTGACTAAGGCGCTCAGAGTGCAGTGGAAAACTAAAACAAGCACCAGAGTGTGGCACAGAAGAGCATGCTGAAAGCAGCACTGCACACAGAAATGCTGTCCACCAATGGAAAGATTAACATAAGTTTGTAGGCAAGAAACAGGCATACGCTTATCACAGGAGAAAGAATTCTGCAACCAGATGGCTTTCTTTAATGTTTACCCCAAGGTTTGTCCTAAAATATTTGGTAGCAAAACAATATCAAACCTACTCCTTATAAGAATGCTGTAGATTTTGGCTGTTGGTCCCTACGGCTTGAAACAGACACCCAAGTACACAAGTGAGAAGTTCAGTCAACCCTACCATCAGGCTTCAGAAGAAAGGGACTGCAGCAGACCTGCAAGGGCTGTAGAGCTACCGAGGGAAAGGGGCTCCCTAACACAGTGGGGCTTCACTCCTGAAGATCTAAAGCTTTCCTTTAATTGTCTTTTCTCAAGCACACTGCCTACTGCCTCCTCGGAGTGATGCATTGCATGGCTTTAGAGACACGTGCGGTCCTTACTGGCTTTACTGCAGGATGGAAAAGCTTGCTGTGATGCACTGTTTGGTGATTAGACAGTTGTGCAGCTAATTTGTGTTGTCCTTTGTGGTGCTTTGAACAAAAAAGTCAAGCCAAAAATGTTAATGGCTTTCTTGGGAGCTGCTGTCAGCTGAGGAGGATGCTGACGGAATGGCAGCATCCTGCTGCAATGAGTCATTTTATTCCAAACGAGGGGCATGTGCTCTGGCACATCCTTCTCCAGTGACCTTTCTTATGTTACAGTGGCCATTAATAAGTCAGGAAGCTTTTGGCTTAGTCCTGCATCATCTTAATATTAGAGTACATTGCATCATAACAACATTTGAGCTGATGACAAGGTGTAGTTTCTTGGTGAAATTTATGAACTCCTTGGAACTTAGAAATGGGGGACAGGCTTCATGTGAATTTAATCTTCATAACAAAGATAGCAAAAATGACAAGCAGAGATGAGGAGGGAAAAATAAATAAAACTCCACCCTCTGGCACAGAATTGGAAGCATCTGGACATTCACAAGGTCCTGTCTCTGTCCAGCCACAGGAGCATTCTTGGCTGAACAACATGGGCGCCATGCTAGGCTGGGAAGGCCTTTTGTCCCTGGATAACTTTACTGTTTAGGTGGGAGATTGCTGATATTAAATTAGCCTGTGGTGGCAACCCTTGTGACCTGCAGTGACTGGTGGCCTGGATTAACTATAATAGGATCCACCAGATGACTGCAGTGACTTAAATTCGGGCACTATCTGGCAGGATTCCCTTCTGGTTGGCTGCCCACAGTTCTTCCCTTCGTGTTTTATAACTAAGGTTAGCATTTGCTGAACCATTACAGGTGTGATAACAAGCACAAGCTTTCCACATTACCATGTCCTATCACCATTTTTCTATAAAGTTGCAGGCATAAATTAGGCTTGTTATGCTTCCATCGACCTGTGTGCACACATCAATTAGTTACAAGACAAGATCGTTTGATATGCACTTAGCTTACCTTTTGCCAGCACTCATACTAATTTTCAGCAAGGCTAAATACATATATTCCCCTAAACAGTGTGCTAAAAGTGATGTATCATTTTCACTGCAGGGCCTCACTTTTCTTCCACTCTAACCTTCTTGAAGTGAGATCACCACAGCTGGTTAATCAATATGCATTTACTCTCTGTCTGATCAGATATCTGGTTTCTGTGCAAGGTGCTGGGAAGTGCAGGGGAAGTGCATTGGGCTCTCAAATATTTGCACTAAGATCACAGTGACCTACATCTCGTAGTAATTCCCCTGCGGGCTCTAAGCTTTCTGTGTGAGGTTCAGTGACTTATAAATCCCTATGCTTATTATTACCCCAATTAACTGCTTGCTTTCTTGGCAGTTAGGCACTGAATTTAAAGCATAGGCAAAATATTACTTGAGGTGATACTGTCATGCTATTGGGCTATTTGTTTTCAGGTGATAGGAATATTTGAAGGCAGAAAATAACAGATAGGAAATGGGCCATCAGTTTATAAAACTGGCTCTTAGATAAAACCAATAAGACCAGTGCTGGAGACTGACAGAGGGTTGGTTATGCTCCTGCCAAAGAAAGAAGCCAGCCAACCCAGCTTGGGTTTGCACGCCCTGCTTCCAGAGTCAGGACAACGCTGGTTGGGCTAGTAGACACCAGTGTTTCTGTGAGCTGGTTCAGTTCCAAGAGCTTTTATGGTAGTTATTTGGGGGGAAATATTAAGCTTTTATTATACGTCATTAGTAATTCTTTTGTAAAATTCACTCAATTGCAGGAGAGAATGAGAAAAACCATGTTAGTAAGGTGTTGGTGGGGCACAGGAACAGGTTGCCCAAGGAGGCTGTGGATGCCCCATCCCTGCAGGCATTCAAGGCCAGGCTGGATGTGGCTCTGGGCAGCCTGGGCTGCTGGTTGGTGACCTGCACACAGCAGGGGGTTGGAGCTGGATGAGCACTGTGGTCCTTTTCAACCCAGGCCATTCTATGATTGTATGATATACAAAAATCCCTAAATATGTATTAAATTCTTGAAATTTGCTTTTTTTTTTCCCCTTCAAAATCTTCACATATTGACAATGACTTCCAAAAGTTTTTACAGGAGTTTAAGGAAATTTGTGTTTCCATTGCCATGATTAATATTTCCCAGCAGTTTCCTCACGAGACCCAGCAGCTCACACAGCAGAAGGCTTTTGAAATAAGATATGTGTGGTTCAACAGATTCAGCTGCAGGATGGCCTTTCTTCTGAGGGCAGCTTTGATGCTCTAATAACCCTTTGTCATCTCTCAGTTTTCCTCTTTGGGTTTGAGTAGGAAATAAAGTGCATTTTTTGAAGGTGGAATACTGAATTTCAGCAGCAGAGGTCTGGTATCTTGCCTGTTCTACTGAGGTTTGTGGGCATCACCGTGTGTTTTTATATATGTGCATACACAGAGATGACTTGTGCCCAAGATGTGCTTTTTCCTACATTGCCACTGTATATCAGGAGAAATCTGAAAAATACAAGCTGTGTAAGTTGGGTAGATCCTGTGCTGCCTTTTGCTGCACTGTGCAAAGCCACCAGGTTGGAGGTTGTGCCTCCTTGTTGTTGGAACTGATCAATAGTTGGTACATGTGGTAAAATGTGACAAAAAGAGAGAGGAATGGCCTGCAGCTGAAAGCAGAGTCAGATGATTCCTGTGTTTAAAAATGAACAAAAGATAGAGAGCAAATTGACACGTCTCCTATATAAACAGCATGGTGTTTTGAAGTGCTGTTGAGCTTGTTATTGCTCTAATTAAATTTCCTTGTCTCGTCTTTTAGTGTTGCTGGCACGGTTTCAGCACGTTGCTCACAGATGTGGAATGCATAACATCTATTCCTGTGTTTTCCTAGTGTGAGCATTCTGTGTCCTTAGGACAGCTTGTTCAATAAGGTGTGCTGTGGGAGCTCAGAAAGGGCTGCACAGGAGGAACTGTGGCATTGGATCCTTTCTGTTATTCTGGGATGTGTGAGAAGGGCTGTGAGCGAGGGAACCATTCGTGGGATAAGTCTGAGAGTCTGCACTGAGGGCAGTGCTGGAGGGGAGGAGGTGCAGCATTTTGTTTGAGGCAGAGCGTGCTGTAGCTGCAGCGTGAGAGCATTCCTATCCAGGCCATCAGCGGTCTGGATGTGGTATTTCAAGATGTGGGTGTTTATAAACTCCTTGTTTTTTTTAATGCACTGTGATGTGAGTTGTTTACATCTAGAGCGTTCGCAGGGTCGGGCATCTCAATTTCACTTGGCTCTTTTGGGCTCTTGTCCTTATTCTGTATCCTTCTGACCCAGTTTTGACCACCGGCATGAACAAGATTGGCAGCTGCTAACAAAACTTCATTTAACATATTAATTGCATGCTAAATAACCAGCGGGGCAGCAATGGCAGCTGCATATTCACACTTCTTACAAAATATTGTTTGTGACAGAATATATCAGCATGTGAGAACAGTAAGATAAACATCTCCTCATTTCTGTTTTTTTTTTTAATCTCATCTATTTTTATGGAAGCAGAATGGGCTTTCTGCCTCTCGTTCTAATTTCCTCTGCTGACACGTGTTTCTTGTGGATGCTTTCATGACATTTCTGTATCAGGAGGTAGTAAAATAAGCTCCTAAAATATTGTGGATGATGCACTATCTCTATTATCTCTCTGTAAGGCTAATTTGGTTCTCCTGATGCTCACTATGGATTTTAAACGTGTATTGAAATGCTCCTGTCAATGTTACAGCTATTATAGTTTAGTAGTGCACTGGCTGTCAGTCCTAGCTCAGGACCCTGGTGCCTAGCACGCAGAAAACGTCAGCTCAACATGTATTTAATGGCTCATTTCTTTGTATTTAAAAAAAAAAACCAAACACACAGAGAGAACCTGCTATCCCAGCAGATGTTTCCATCTCTAAAAGTGTGCTGTACTCACGGATCGGCGCTTCGGATGCAGAAGGCACCACGAGTCTTCTCTACCCCCAGCAAGACTTGGATGCTGCACTACGACTTGCCAGAGCAGAGGTAATGTTTTAGAACTGGGAATAGGAAATAGGTGGCACTTGTGGACTCCTTCTTTTCTGTTTTCTCCCAAACTCTTTATATTATTATTATGTTTACCATGCTTGAGACTGTTCTCAGCAATTCTGAACCCACGCTGGAGGCTAACAAAGCCAAAGGTGCTACTCTGTAAGTGCTGCTTGTTTTGGATGTAAATACTGGCTGGAAGAGGCCTATGAAAATCACTGAGTTCAGCTGTCAGGCTACTTCAGGACTGACCCAAAGTAAAAAAAACATAATTAAGAGCAGTATCTAAAAGTCACTTAAAAGTGGACAGGCACAAGACATCAACCACCTCTAGAAACCCATTCCAGTGTCTAACCATTCCAGTGTGAATGAAAGGAGCACAAAGAAACACAGTCCTTCAAATATAAAATCTCATGGATAGTCAGCCCTACATATGGACGCAGAAGCAATAAGAGCCCCCTTAGAGGACAAACCGTGGGACTGTGTTCCAAAGCCAAAATTATTTCAGTCTTGGCTCCAAATCAGGCATTGTATGAAGCATTTTTAAATGATCATGATTTCACATCTGAACTTCTTAAAATTGCACCTTACAGTCTGTAAATCAATGGGCATGCTTGTATTTGAACCCATTGTGCCTTTGGAAACTGTACCTGTATCAGTCAGAATTTGATATCCATACTGTACACTTATTTTGTTTCCTCCTCAATGGATCACTTCTTCTCACTTTTCTTTTTTCTTGTTTCAGATTGTGGCCAAGGAAAGAGAAGTGTCTGAGTGGAAAGAGAAATATGAAGAAAGCAGAAGGGAAGTGATGGAAATGAGGTGGGTCATCACTTGTCACTAAGCACAACAGTGTAGTCTTACTTGAGGCTGTGGACAGCACAGTGCCATGACTGTACAGATCTTTGGCTCACTCAAGTTGTTGGTTGTATTTAACTGCAGGCTTCAAACTGATCCTAAACCTGTTGAAGGTAATCATTGTGAACTTCTACATTGCTGTACTGAGATAAAGGGTCTTAGTCCAGGCTAATATAAGGAGTTCTTTCCAGTTTGTGCTGCTCCCCTCACTTGCGAATTCTCACATGGGTTGCATTGTGGTGTTTCTGTTGCCTGACTGAATGACTGTGCCTGCAGTGTTGGTAGAGGTGTCTGTCTGCTAATTTAAAGTTGTCTTTCCACGAGGAGTTTTGCCAGCAGAAAAAAAAGCATGTGAAGGTTTGAATACAGGTATGAGCAGCAGAGGCTCCCTTCAGGAGGTTATTATTAAAAGATTCTTTAACATCAAAAACCCCATTGCTGGTAGGAAAACATTTCTTGCAAAGGAGCCACTCTTGCCTTTGAGAGTTGACTTTCAAGGAGTTTCAACTTCCTTCTCTTTGAACAGAATTTTTAATTATAGCACACACACTAAACTTGATTTCAGCTAACCAGTGTTTATCTTGGATTTTGCTACCCAATATGAGAGCTGACAAGAAGCACTCTGAACTTTTCAGTTCTTTCTAGTTGTATCTGCTGATCTATTATACTCCATTTCTCCTTGCAAGCCTGTCTCTATTACATTAAATAACAGTAAACTGATAATAACTGTTTTGGCCTTTCTTCCCAGCCAAGGTCTCTGCCATTTGCAAAAATGATAAAGTCACTATAGTGGATAAAGTTGCTCAGAGCATCACTTTTGCTTGCCATCTAGTCAGCTGAGGGTTTCAGCCATTCTTTTTCTGTATAGTGGTAATGCCATAAGAACAACATACAGAGAAGTTTGACCCATTCATTGACCTGGATCTGAGAAAGTCATCAGTTTTAAAAGAGGCTCTGTAGGAGTATTCTATGGAATTTTTAAAGCCTATTACTTTCTGCCTTCAAGCAGACAGGCCCTCTCACTACCTCTGTCCTTCACTCATAAATAAAAGAGATCAGACAGATTGTTTTAGCATCTATCTTTCAAATTATAATTTCCATGATGCCTTTTGAGACTGAGTTTTCTGTTCTAGCACCTGCTTCTTCCCAGAGTTAAAGACCTAGGTAGCTTAAAGCAAAAGCCAGTCAGCTGTATTGAGAAGTGATCTGCACCTGCAGTTCCTGCTGGCATCCAGGAAACTTGTGCTGATGGAACAGGGGCAAAAGAACACTGTGCTGCACAAATCAGAAGCACTGGCAAAGGTGCCAAGTGTCACACGTGGCAGATTTGAATAGAGGAGCACAGGGCTCTGAGCCAATGCATCTGAAGAGAGGCGTCTGCAGGAGGCGAGGGCAGCCGCTTTGTGCCTTGGAGAGGAACCATCTCCCAGCGCCCGCTGAGTTCTCTCACCTCTCCTGCTCTCCGCCTGGGAAAGGAACCAAAACCCTGGCATAGCTCTCTCAGTGCATAATGAGGCAAAATGGAAAGGAACTGCTGCAAGCATGCATCCAAAAAACGAAACGTGGAATGAAGAAAACCTAGGAATTATGTAAAGAATGACTCAGAGTTCATTGCACACACTCCAGTGCAGTACTTTGTCTATTTTCTGGAGGCTGCCAGGGTACATACGCCTGCTGGCTGCAAACAGGCACTGGCAGGGGTTGCTTATTCCTTAATGAAAGGAGAGCAGAGAGACAGAGCATCTGACACACTGTAGGATCTGTTCCTTTCTGTACCTCGCATTAATTTGCTTCTGTGTCTATGTCCTCAATAAGATTTGATTTTGGAGAAAAAAAAAGAAAAAGAAAAAGCCTTATGCAAGCCAAATTTCAACAGGCAAATGGGGAAAAGGTCATTTTGTCTCTAAATGATGAAAGGTGCATGTGTGCACCAGGATTTCATTGGGAAGATCACATGTTGAAACAGTTCATGTGTGATAAATTAGAGATGCAGAAATTAGACGTGACATAATTGTAAGAAAGGAATGAAGGGAAAGGCTGGGATTATCGAGTTGCAAGCATGGTAACTTTTTTTTGCAGGAGGAGAAGCAATGCTTCTTTATGCAAATACTCCTTGTTCTACCTCCTGAGTTTAGCCAAGTTCCCAGAAAAATGTCAGTGTGAAGGAGATTCCACTCTGGAGGAGAGGAGCTGAATGAGAAGTTACAATGAGGATATAGTAGGATTCAAACAGCCAGTGATGGGCTGTGCCATAGCGCAAGGGTAGAGCCAGAGTCAGGCTGGATGTGTTTAAACATGGTTTGTTGGAGGTGTGATTGATCATACCTCTGTGTGGGATGCCAAGCAGAAGACCTTTCGAGAGGTAGCCTGGGATTTTTATGTTTTCATGACTTATAAAACTGTGGAAAGTCAATATGCAGACCAGAGGTCTGAAACAGAAGAAATTAGGCCTATGTAGCATCAACTTTGAGTTGAGATGCTCCATCACAGAGAGGAATGACATGGTCAGCATCCTTGGGTTTCCCACCTGCAATGCCTTTTCTTTAGTCTGCTTCAGAGAAAGAGAGCTTTGTGATGAATATGAAGCAAGCCTTGAGATCTTCACTTTCCAAATCAAATAGTGTTAAAATCGCTGTGGCGTTGAAGTGTCCATGTTTAGTGGTGAAAGTAAGGCTGGGAAGCTGTATGGTGTTCTAACAACATTTGGTGTTGTGTTCATTGTCATTGGCCCTTGGCTTCATTTTCTAAGATGATCAAACTTCCTGAAGGTGGCTGGTATCACAAGGACATGACATGGCTTTGAAATCCCTGCTGCTTACCTTTTATGTGAGAATGATCCCACTGTCTGGGGTCTGTATGTGATCCAGACTTGACACATGCAGTGCTGCTGTTACTGCGCTGGGTTTGGGGGGTCTCCACAGCTTTCTCTTTCCTCGCTGACTTCTGTCGCAGGATTTCCCCTTATCCTTACTGCAACCTCTCTGTCTGCAGCTAAAATGGAGCAAATCAAAGCGAGCAAAGACTTCAAAAAATATGTATTCAAATACCAGTGGGCTATTTGGAATATTCACTTCAGATGAAGCGTACAGTAATTTTGTTTTTCATAGGCAATCCTATGTGGCTCACAAATCAAAGCACAGATCAAGCTAGTCCCATTTCATTAGCTTTATTTGGCTCTGGAAAGGGATGGATCATCTTTCTAAATCACATTTAATCTGCTTATTTTGGCTAACCTCTTTTCAAGAAGGAAACTCAAAGCCTGCTGCGAGTCTGCGAAATAAAATAGTCTTGAAAGTAACATTTTACCCCCTCTGCTTTTCAAAAGATGTGTGAAATTGGATCGGTGAGCTTTGTGCTCCATAGCTGAATGTTTTGGTTGTGTTGTTTTAAGTGCTGATGGGTCACTTCTTCACGTTTGGAGAGTGGATGTGTTTTGGATGGGGGCCAGCTGTACTGCTGTTGGATTTACTTGCCTACCAATTATAGCTTTTGTTAATGTTCACATTAAAAATAAGCGGACACGGAGGATGAAGAGGGGGTGGAAGAAGGCAATAGGAAAAGGAGACTTGATGCAACTCTTCAGTGAGGTTGATGCAATTATGTTGATGTTTAAACTGAGATTGATAATGTACTTCGGGTGTGATGCAAAGTAATTCCTTTTCCCTCCCCGTGGAGGAGCAACGTTTAAGCTGTCAGTTTTATTTGTTGCATAGGAATAAAGAGCATGCAAAAGCCTGGAGCAGGATCTTTATCCTGTTTTTATACCATAGTTCAGTTATTAAGTAGCATTATTTTCTAATTATTAGCTATTACGATGTTTGCCAAAAGCTTTTTCTTTTTTTTCCTCTTACAGGAAAATAGTTTCAGAATATGAGAAGACGATTGCTCAGATGATAGGTAGGTGTTCCTGCCGTGAAAGATGCCATCCTGCACTCTGATTTTCTGAAGAGGGCATAGAAATGGGATTTAAGTCTGTGGGCTTCATTTTGATGCCAGCTCCCCCCGCTGATGCTGCGGGGAGTCGGGATGCATCTGAGGACACACTGTGTGCTTCCAGGTGGTGATGTGAAGCTGGTGCTTCACTTTACAGAAATAAACCCCAAGGCAGTGCAGGTAATACAGAAAGGTCAGGGCTTTTTCTTCTGTGTCAAAGCAAAGTGTCCCATGGGAAACATATTCAAACACTGCCCAGCTTCTACAGGTATCTCCAGGAGAGACATAAAATGACCTGAAAACCCTGTAGTCATCCGCTCGCAGCTGTTTAACAGGAGATACCAAACTTAGCTCTTTACAACAGGGATTATCTGTGCTAAGTGCATTGGTTGGACCAAAACCGAGATTAACTTCAATCCCAGCTGAGATTGTGAGTGGCCAATCCACCTCCCAGCTACTGACATAAAGGTCTCCAAGCTATCTGCACAATCTATTGCAGAAGTCAAGAAATCATTCTTCTCACTCCTCTGGGAGAACTGTCATGGAGAGCACTGCATGCCTGCAGCACAAAAGGCATCTGTGCATCTTTCTAAAAGGGTTTTAACACATGAAGGACTTTTATCACAGCTGTTGAGTTCTAATATATATGTGTGTTTTACCCCTTTTAAAACTGGCAGCTCCTCGTGGTCTGTGTGGCATAAACACCCAAGCTGTTGGTTTCTTCTACATTGTTTTGTTAGCATTTGATGCTTGAGTTCTCTCTAAATTCTATAGCAGAGTTGCTTATTTTTGCCCAAGGAGAGCAGTGGGGGGGGCAGTTCAGTGCCTGCTGTTTGCTGCCTTCCTGCATTTCACAGCCCATGGGAGGCACCCCAACCTCCTTTCATGAAAAAGAAAAAAAAGGATCTAGAAATAAGTCTTCATCTGTGTGCTTTGTTCTCTGTACAGTGTTCTGCCTCCATTGCCTTCTGTGTGTAAACCTGAATGGGTTTGCCTGCTTTCTGACGTAACCTCTGTCATTCTCATCATACAGATGTTAAGGCAGGAGTGGTCAGATTATGCCAAGAATGTGATTCCCTTTATTTTACACTGGGTGTGCTCTGGTGCTGCTTCATGCACGATTATGGACATTACCAAGCGTGGCAAAGAATCAGGGTCACAGTCTCCAAAATGTAATTTTCTTCTTCAAACACTGGGGGCATTTTTTCCTATTTTATGTGTCCCACTGCTGTCAAGAGATTCTTTTTTTGTTTTAAAGCAGTACAGAGTTTGATCTGAATGCTTACAGCATGTAGGTCCTGTATCTAGCCTGTGCAGAGCTGCCCAGGAACTCTGCAGGGAGTTCTTCAGCTTCAATGGCCATTTGTATGGACAGACACAGGACCTGCCCCATTCTCCCTAAGCATCTGCATGCAGCCAGCAACAGAACTTTCTTTTGACTGCAGGTTAAACTTATATGTATATAAGTTGTAAGTCTGTAGAGCAATGAGAAGGTATGGAACAGAGATTCTAAGGCAACAGCACAGCCATGGCAAGCATGGCAAATTCTGCAGTTGCCAGTTCATCTTTAAAGAAGTCAAGGATATTAAAGCATTGGGCCTTTGGCCACTGAGGAAATAGAAAGAACTTCAAACTTCTAATTCAAAGTATCAGTCAGAGTCTTCCAGGTGATGTACAGCAAGTTTTTAAGAGCTATGGCTGTAAATAACATAATTTGCCATCCGTTTTCAAAAGAACTGAAACAGCAGCGACACAGGAAGCATGTGCTAATTAGAGCAATATGCAAATTTTACAGCATGATAAATGTGAGGCTCCTTCTCCCAGCATTTAGTGTAAATTTTCCCTCTAATTATCCCACTTTCTCCTGACATTTGCTGCAAATTATTGTCCCTTCTGACGAAAGAATTTACCCAAATGCCACATTGTGAGGGAAGTGATTGTCTGCATGCTATTTGCATAGACTTGACTGAGCTGTTATCCCACTAACGTCTCCCTGCTGGAGCAAAATATGCATTTTCACAAAGGAAATGCCTCTGCTCTTTCTATTTATGATCTAACCCTTCTGAGCTATTTACAGAGCCCTCTGCCAGGAGGGTGAGTTGCAAGTGAACCAATTTCACAAATCCCTTTCATGTATATTCAGCGAGGTTGAGCGATCCTGCTCAGCTTTTACAGACTGTTGTGTGCATGCAGAGTGAGCACGGAAAATATTTCGTACTCCTGGAATAAGACTGTGGGTGTGTTTGCATATGAAGTGCTGAAAACATGCCCTGCAAGCTGTCATTGCCATTGATTTCAAGGGCTGTGGTAGGTCTCCTATTGCTGTCATGTACAGAGCCCAGTGTTAACCCACCTCAGCTCATACAATCAGTCCCATGCTGTCCAGGCAGAGCTGTCAGTGCACAGATCCCTATGAGAGTCTCTGCATCATTTCCTCCTGCTGCTTTAACTGCTCTTCCTCACACTTGGCCCCCTAAGACAGTCTGCTGCCCTTTGAGGGTGGGCACACAAAGGACAGCCATGCTGCTGTGCTGCAGCCTGGGCAGAGCTCACAAAGGCCCCTGCTCACCCTGCGGCACGCACCTCTCCTCAGTCACACTCACCTCCCCCCCTTCCAAAATCCTTGCTGTAGATTTATTTGTATTGTTGGATTTGTGATGTTGGGCTTTTTTTTCCTCTTTTTTTCCTGCTAAAAAAAATGTATCCGTGTACCTGTAAGCTTAAAGACATAATGAACTTTTCATTATGAAGACAAACAAATGTTATGCTTTGTGCATTACGGGTTGTTGCATTACTTATTTTCTGCTTTCCTAACAATTCCTGATTTTCTATTTTGCTTCCGTTTTCGTTGCTTCTTGCTATTTGCTTGCAAAAACAAACAGGCAAGCCCGGTAAGTAAAGCTTTTCACCAACTTTCACACCACCACTCTGCATTTTTCCTTTCTTTTGCCTTTGTTCTCCGTTTGCTGCATTCCCATTCAGTTATGTGATAACGCTGTGCTGAGCCTCGGGGCGGATGTGCTGCTGCTGTGGTGGTGGTTTCACTCTGTCCATTTGGACATCCTTAGTCCTGAGCATCCTCGTGGTGGTGGTGACCCACAGGCAGTGTGTGGTATGAACATGGAAGCCATTTAATTAAAATATTCTGATCACGTAGCCTTTATAAACTGCCTTAGAAACAATGTAGAGATAAGTGGCTGTAACTGGTGAGCTGAGATTGGAGCTGCCTGCACAGCTCCACTGAGCAGCCTGTTCCTTAAGGCTAAATGATAGCTTCAGAGAGTAGTTGGTGGGTCTGCCCAGCCCCTGCAGCCCATGATGCTGGGAGGCAAAGAGCTCCTAGATGTGAGGAGTGAGGCTGCATCACTAGCAGGAGGAACTTGCTAAAATACCACAGCAATCTCAGAAAAAGTAAATGGAGATTTATTTATTGATTTGAGTTGTCACTTTGAACGCCTTAAAGCGTTTAGTGATGCAGATGGCTCCTTTCTCCTGCATGGAGCTGTGAGCAGAGGTGCTGCCCCGACACTGGCATCATTGCAGTCAGTGCTTGGGGATGAGCTGGGCAGGTTGTATCTCCAGCGTGCTTACAGAACGCTTCTGCTGGAGCACGAGGTGGCAGCTTCTCAGATCTCAAAGAATTACATAAATAAAGGAAGAGAAATCGATGGGTTTCTCCCTTTATTTGAGTATTACAAATAATCATGGTGTGTCTTCAAGTAGTCAAAAGGGAGAAGTTATCAGAGTGATGGGGTGTCAAGGCTCTGCACTCCTTGGTTCATTCATCCCAAAGGTGTTTGTTTGTCACTACCTGGGGCTTTGCTGGGCTGGCACAAACGCAGAGGACTACAAAGAGATTGAATACACAAAAGGAAGAGGTGAATTGCTCGGGAATTCACAGCATGAACTTTGATGTTTCAGGGTTGACCAACACCGCGAAATACTCTTTAAATCAGATTCATTTTCACTCTTTGAGTGAAAAACTGAACACCCGTCAAAATATTTCAAAACATAGGAGGCTTAAGTGAAAAGTTGTACATTTTAAAGCTGCTTTTTAGATGGGAGAACTTTTCCCTTCATTTCAATTTCTGTCAGAGGTGTAAGAAAACGGTAACGTAAAGCTGCTCATTTCTCTGAGCATATCTCATAGCAGCATCGTTCAAAGCAGCCCTTAAAACAGAGACATAAAAATCTTAATTTAGGATCTGCAGCCAGCAGTGTATCACTCAAGTAGGCAATGGCAGGCTTTTTTTCCCTACTATTATAAGCTATTTTAATTTATTACTTTGAAAAAAATTGTCTTCCATGTGGATTTGGAATCCTGTTTTACTGTTCCCACCCTCCCTGCTGCCTCACATGTAGTTAAACACTCTTTATGCTTAGGAGATGCCCTCCACAAACCAGCTCTGCCCAAAGTCAGGTTTCCTTCCTGGCGTTTGTCTGCAGAGCTCCTAAGAAGGAAAGTTTACAAAGTTTTCTGAGGGGAGAATTTTGAGCTGGGCTAAATGAAATGAAGTGGCAAGTTTGTACAGGGTTAGAAAAGATGGTGGGAGATCACAACATGGGTCAGAAGCAGCAAATAATGTATTACCTGCTCTTAAAGTACTGCTGCATGTAATCTCCTCCAGCTTGTGCCTCTTCTGGCAAATGAGGAATCCCAGGATCATAGAATGGCCTGAGTTGAAAAGGACCTCAATGCTCAGTGCTATGTGCAGGGTCTCCAACCAGCAGACCAGGCTGCCCAGAGCCACATCCAGCCTTGAATGCCTGCAGGGATGGGGCATCCACAACCTCCTTGGGCAGCCTGTTCCACTGAATCCAGTATCTCCTTCGTGGGAGCAGCTGAGTTGCAAGTGAAATAAATCATCTGTAAGAAGATGTTTTCACCTTTTTCCCATAGTATTACAGTAATTAATTATCACTGTATTTAGAAAGCTTTTTCCAAAACATGATATTGTCTTTGAGTAACAGTGACGTTTGGATCTTCTGCAGAACTAACTAACATACAGCACAGAGCACAGCGTAGTAGAAACTATAGATGACAGTGAAATCAGCGTTCATATTGATTTCTTTTTTTCTCCCCCGTCTTCTTTCTACCAGAGGACGAGCAGAGAGAGAAGTCTGTCTCCCATCACACCGTTCAACAGCTGATCGTGGAGAAGGAGCAAGCGCTGGCGGATCTGAACTCGGTGGAGAAATCCCTGGCAGATCTTTTCAGGAGATACGAGAAAATGAAGGAGGTGTTGGAGGGGTTTCGAAAGGCGAGTCGCTCCTTTCCTGTTCAGAGGAAAGCTGAGAGGGCGCTCGTGTGGTGGTGAACCCGTGTTGCTTCACATGGGGCACCTTTTTGTTTCCAGGCATAAGTCTGCTTTGCTGCATGGCCCTGCACAGTGCACAGCAGGAATGCCCACTGTGCTTTCTTTCTCTTTGAGAAAGAGTACCTTGTTCCTGTACCCGACGGTACAGTTGCAATAAATGTCACGTACCTGCTGGATTTTACCACATGTTGGGGCTGGCTTGCAGGCTGAGTTGTCGGGGAAATCTGTATCTCCACTCAGAGATTATGTCTAAAGTGCATGGTGTGGTGTAATCCTCAAACAGAGGATTTCAGCCCGGTACCAAACACAAATAAAAGCACCATAAAGCTTTTTGCATTGTGCAGAATTGCTTCAGATGAAATCTCTGGGGGCATGTCAGTTATCAGCATTGGACAGCCTCCTTACAAGTACCTGAATGTGACTTGGATTAAATGTGATGTAATGTTTCCATTTCAGAACGAAGAAGTGTTAAAGAAATGTGCGCAAGAGTATTTATCACGAGTAAAGAAAGAAGAACAGAGGTATCAAGCACTCAAAATCCACGCCGAGGAAAAACTGGACAGGTAATTGCTTGTGCACATCTCCATTGAGGAGTTCACACTGCAGGAAGGTCCCTGTGGCTGAGCCTTGCGCTCCAAACCTGCTCCTTCCAGATGCTGTGCTTCAGCTCCTGACCATGGCTAAAGAAAGAATTAGTTTCACAGTGAAAAAGTCCCCCAGGAGGAGTCCATGTTGAGCACCTTAAAATTCTCCTTATCTTCATGTATTTGACAGGGAAGATTGAGGGAGAAGCTGTCAGCCAGACTTACGCAGCTACAAAGGGCTGTGCTCAGATATTTGCATTTGTAGCTGATGTTTGTGCCCCAGTGCTTTGCTATTGCCCTGTGCTGTGTTACTGCCCTGACATCAGTCAGCAGAACAGAGTGTGCAGTTCAGAGCAGGTGTCTCTGTTAATTCTGGACCCCTGGTTTATGCTGAGTTTGCCCACTTGTGTTGATGGTGATGTGCACTTGCACAAGAGTGCATATAAATCCATAAGCCACCATTAAGGTGTGAACATCTGATTGTGCCCTAAGGCAGGCAGGTCAGCTGGGATTGTTGTTGTTGCCATCTTTAATGCTTTCATGGAATAACCAAGTAAGCATTTCTAGAGTCTGCATGCAGTCCTCGAAGCCCAGGAGATGTCTGCAAAACATCACTAGCATTGATCAGTGCCTGAAGTAAAGCGAGGCTTGGATTTGCTTCCCAGCTGTGAATCTTGTCTGTGAGAACTGGAGATCAGATTGAGAAACTTCCAGAGAACACCTCCTGCTGAGTGGTATCTCTGACCCCCTCTCGTATAGACATAGTGAAAAGGCTTTGCTGACTGCTGAGCAAGGGAAAGAGCCACAGAAAGTCTAGGGGTGAGGCTCAGGCTGCCTTCAAAGATACACAGAAAGCAGCCCTGCCCGTCTCTTAACATGTAGCCCATCCTTGGATACCCTCCATCCTCTCCTGGAGACCTCCTGACGTGACAAGAATCTGTGTTTTTCTAGAGCCAATGCTGAAATTGCACAAGTGAGAGGCAAGGCTCAGCAAGAGCAAGCAGCGTATCAGGCCAGCCTTCGTAAAGAGCAGCTGAAGGTGGATGCGTTGGAAAGAACACTGGAACAAAAGGTATGCAGCAGCTCTGCTCTTCTAACAAACTCAGGCTGGATGTTAGGAAAAATGTCCTCTCAGGAAGAGCAGTGAGGCACTGGCACGGGCTGCCCAGGAACACAGGGCCACTGTCTGTGGAGATGTTCAAGAACCATGGAGGTGGTGCAGGGATATGGTCAGTGGGGACGGGTTGGGTGTTGGAGCAGATGATCTCAGAGGTCTCCTCCAACCTTAATGACTCTGGATCTAAGGCAGTGACATGACCTTGCCTCGGACTGGCTGCCTCCAGCTCTCTTTTGGAGCTTAGACCTAGGTCGAGGTCTGCCCAAGGTCCTGTCCTGCTCCTCAAGCACAGCCAGCCAGAATATATCTCATGTTCTCTAGCTCAGCAAAGGAGCTTCTTTCCACTAAAATACAGCAGGTCCTTGCTTAGAGCCCCATGAAAACAGAATGAAAGTAATGCTATGGGGAACAGCCTGGAAACAAAAGCACGCTGTGTGTTATTATCATGTGCCAGGAGTGGCTGCTGGTCCTGAATCATCATCTGATTTGGTGCTAAGTTGTATTTACTGCAGTAAGATGAGCTCTGTGTGGGAAGCAGCAAGCAGATTGTTTGAAGGCATTATGCACAACTGCTCTACATGTGTGTGTATATCCTACATACATCTATTCCCAGTATTGGAGAAAATGCTGTTCTTCCACACTTATGGGAAAGCTTGATTTTTAAATACACTCAGTATAATAATATTTTTCATTGGACTTAATACTGCCTTTTGTTTTCCAGAATAAAGAGATAGAAGAGTTGACAAAGATTTGTGACGAACTGATTGCCAAAATGGGGAAAAGCTAACTTTTAACCAAATTTCTGGACTTCAACACTGAGTGCAATATGACCATTGGCACACTGATGTCCATACATTTATGTGGACGGGTTATATTTTCACCTTTTCGTATGCACTACTGTATTTTCTTTCTAAATAAAGTTGATTTAATTGTATGCAGTACTAAGATGACTATCAGAATTTCTTGCTATTGTTTGCATTTTCATAGTATAATTCATAGCAAGTTGATCTCAAAGTTCCTGTATCAGGGAGATTGTCAAGTTCTCTAAGAAATTACAAATTGCTGATCCTAGCCTTCCCTTTGTACATGAGTTCCCATGTTGGATGTCTTTTGGATTTAATATAAACATGTATTACTTGCATGGGGACTCTTGCCTTAAGGAGTGTAAACTTTATCTGCATTTGCTGATTTGTAAAATAAAATGAAAAACGAAAAAAAAAAATCAAGATGCATGTCACTTAAATGAAATTCTCTATTGTAAATAAATTTTTTCGTTGGAAGTTGAAGATGAGTGGCTTTATTTTGTGTATTTTGCTTGCTTACTGCTTTTGCTGTGCCAGGTACAGCGGAGTTTGTTAAGGAACTCCTTGCCCAGTGATGGGATTGGCCACAAAGTCATACTGCTTGTGTGCACCTATCCTTATATCCTGCATTCCCTGCAAGTATATATGCTAGATTTAGACTTTCTGTCCTCGAGTTTGAGCTTAATCCTGTGGGAATGACTGATTCTCTCACCCTGGTCCAGAAAAGCACGTAGGAAAGTGAGGCTGTTTCTCTGAGTTGGGTGCTGTGACATGAGGTGGTTTTTAAGCAGATCTGTTGTTGGGTGAACACATTTTGTTCTTCCTGCCAATGGAAGAATTTGCTGCCACATTTGTGGAGATGCAGTGTGTGTGATTAGAAGTACACCCAGAATAAGCTAGATAAGCAGCATTCCCGCACACCTCCTTATCCTCTAAGTCATCCTCTGCGGAGGATTAAGTATGTAAGATCAGCATTAAAGCTTTAATAGCAAACAAACTGCTTTCTTTGTCTAATGGTGCATCTCTTGTATCTCCATGATGCGGACAGTCTGCAGCCTGGTTCTCATCGGCTCCCTTTTTGTCATCAAAAGTAAGTCAGCCCTCTTCTTTTATTCCTTATTTCCTATTTCAGACGTGGCTGAGCTTATCTGCTATTCAGGGCTCTCCTCCTGGCTTGGTTGGTTTTCAGAGTGTTTTGTGTGCGTGGTTAGCAGCACGGCGTTTCACTTCTGCTACGGAATAGAAACATGGAGATGTTTGCAAAGAAATGTAAATGCGTTATCTCCGGATGGCAGATGTGCCTTGTGATCTGCACAGCTCACCAAGGACGCTGCAGAGAAGCTGCAAGTTCGTGCTTGTCTTTGAAAATTCCGTGTAGTTTCAACCAAAGATCAACTTTGGGAATAAGGAAAATTAGATTATAGCTGTCAGGTTTAAACAGATGCAAAAATCATAAGATGTACTGTTTGGTCTTCCAGTGGAGCTGATACTTCAGAAGACTGAATATGGACCGTAATATGATTTTAGGCGTTCACAGTGTACTTTCTCATGGCGCTGTGGACCAAAGGCCGCGATGGAGGGGAAAACCATCATGTTCCAGCTTGTTCTACAAGTGTTACAAGAAGGTGTGGGTGCAATCACAGAGCATCAGATGTTCACCATCCCTGGAGTGTTCAAGGGACGTTTAGGTGTTGCACTGAAGGATGTGGTTTAGTGGGGAGTGTTGTTACAGGCAGACAGTTGGACTGGGTGATTTTGGAGGTCTTTTCCAACCTTGGTGATTCTGTGATATTCTTGAGTTACACTCAGTGCAATTGTAGCAATCATAACACGCGTCTCACTTTTTTCAATCCTTAAAGTCAGTTATCTGGGCCCCTTTAAAAAAGGGAAGTTGATAGGATTTGCAAAATATTTAGGTATTTATAATCTTCTAGCAATTTTTGCACGTGCTTCAGGCGAAATCATAAAGACTGCATGGATGGTATTTGAAAAGGGTTTGTTTGGTTTTTTGTTTGTTTTGGTTTGGTTCTTTTGCAAACTCTACCACTATCTTTTCTCTCCTAACAACAGGTGAAGCACTGCAGTGTTACACCTGTGTAGGTTCCAGCGATGATGACTGCAACAGACAAGGGGCACAGCAGTGCCCGGGGCATTCCGATGCGTGTGCGGTCATGCGAGGACAAGCAAGTGAGTAAACACAGCCAGCTCCAGCTCATCACATTGCTAACAGCAGCGGGAAGGTAATCAGTGCTGGAAGGAGAAAAGCGTAGCCGCTTTCCCCTCCAAATGAGCACTGTTTACACATCTTGGTTCTGTTGGCTTAGCAGCAGCTTGATGCCAAACGTGTGACAGCGCGATGGTCCCCGCCGGGTGGGCACTGCGCTGGCGGTGGGCGCGTTGCATTGCACTGCACTGCGCTGTGTGCTCACTGTGCTCTGTTGCAGGCGGTGTGATGAAGTCCTGCTCGTTCCGCTCCTTCTGTGAGAAGGCGATGAGGGATGGAGCCAGAGCACCCGGGGTGAGCGTCCACTGCTGCTACTCCAGCCACTGCAACGCCAAGAGCCGCGGCGCGAGGCTCGGCCCCTCCAACGGCTGCTTCGTCCTCCTCCTCTTGTCCCTGTGTTGGCACCCGCTGTTGAAGCTGACATGAGGGGGAATGGGATCCTGAAACTGCCTTTATAGAAAGGGATGGTTGTAATCACACTTCCTGTACCGCGTTACTCCACGTACCGTGTTTCTCAGTAGGAAGAAGCTGTAGGCAGACTTAGCTGCAGGTAGCAGCCTTGTAGTGAAGGTAAGGAGTGATGTGCTCCAGCTGCTGTCTGCTGTTGGCACGCACTCAAAAGCAAGCTCCAATTTTCAGGCACAAAGTGACTGGGAATTCTAGCACGCTCTTGAGTTGTTCAGAGAATATATCCAGTCTGGACAGTGGCAGAAAACCTGATGTAAGAGTGGTTTAGTATTGATACAAAGTGCTAAGAGAAAGCTATTAAGAGAAAAAAAAAAAAATTGGGAAACTTGTATTACATACATTTATAGGGATAAAAGAACTTTCCCAGTCTCCTTTCCTCTGATACTTGAAGATCTTACCACAACACTGGGAGCAGCAGCTAAAAAAGCAGCTTGGGTGCTGTTTTCAGCAGGTCGGCTGCCTACTGGAGACTGCCTGTCTCTCCTGCTACTTTTGGAAAGCTTTGGTCAGTCGCTGTGCTGTAGGCAGCTAATAACACAGGTAACAATGTTTTGATATACCCAAATTCCTAATGCATTTCAACTGTGTTCTTCACTGTCCTAAAGAGTGAAGTGGTGCATAGCCCTCCTTGCACTGGTGTCATTAAGAGAGTGTTGTGTGGTGGGTTATCTAATCCTTTTAATTTTGCAAAGTGAAATTACACGGAGATGTCTAGAGAGCTGAGGAACTAAATTAACATGCTTAATAATCCCATTCATTGCAGTTTTACCACGTAGATGACCCAAAGTGGGCCATGGCACTGCGCAGCCATAGCTGTGGGCAGCTGCTAACAGTGGGGGTGCCCAACCTGGGCCATAGTGATGTACCACAACGTGATTGCATTGAGCTGCTGCTGGGTCGGTGATGCTGGCAAGGAGCTGGCAGGGCAGAGGTGATTCGTAGCACAGTGACACGTAGGCAGGTGGTTGATCTGTGAAGGTGTCAGCATCCAGCTGTACTGACCAGGTCTAATCTCCAGCACACAGCGGCTTTCAGCCCAGCTGGTGTCACCTCAGTAGAGGTGGCCTTCCAGTGAGGAGTTCTGCTTTTTGTTGCCCATTTGGAATTCAAGCACGTTTATGGAACTCATGAACTATGTGACAAAGTAGATTTTCTGCTAGCTCCGTGTTGTGACTTTGTTTCTAAGTATTGTTCTTTGCAAGATCAGCACTAGGCAGCACATGGTAGGATCCTGCACGTCTTCCAAAATTTGGTCAAGGTTCTTGAGAGCTTCTGCAAAAGAAATCAATGAAAGCTCAGGGCACTCTGCCCTACAGCTGCACTGTCTCCTTGTTCTGTTGCGCTCACTCTGGATGGATCCTTCCATCATCTTCTGTAGGCTGTGGGGTCAGACTGGGGCCGTTCCTTTGGGGTTTTGCTGGGAGGGGCTCTCAGACCTGGGGGTTCTGCTCTGTGGTTGTTGTTATCACAAGGCTGATACAGCTGTCAAAAAAGAAATTGCTGGACTGCCTCACCTTGGCTGAGAATATTAATTTAGGCTTAAATATCTCACATGTGTAACAAATCACTTGAGCTGATAAGAATTCTCCATTTCATTCTCAGCTTGAATCAGCTCCTTCAATCTGTTCTGCTATGCAAAATATGTATTGATGGTACCTTTATTTTCTGATTGCTCTGTAATGATAAAACTCTACAGAATGCAACCTCTGTGATGCTCCATGCATTTCCTTAATGACAAATTAAAATATATGCAATCTCTGACAGTGTCTCTGGATAAATGGGAGGAGTGTTGTGATGGCCAGTCTCCTCTGTTGGCCTCTGCTCCATCAGGAGATTCTCCACGGGGATCTGTATCTTCAATGTGTTAGATAAAACTGCAAATGATTTCTTATGGTGAAGCTTCTCTGCTGAAACCAGGTGAGGCAGTGTGCCCTGCCAAGCACCAGCTGTCACCATGCGCTCCCACCACGTGCCATCCAGCACTCTGATGCTTTTACTGCCTAATTATGAATTTGAAATGTGCACGTGTACTGATATCTATGAATGATACACTGTGTTTGTTGGTTCATGGAGATATCAGAGGTGTTTTGCAGCAGTTCTCGGCATTAACTTTAACGGGGAGATGAGCACAGGAACAAAGCAGAATAAAATAGATGGAATATTTTAAAACTGTCATTGCTGTGAGTGTGCAAAGCTATTCCAGGCAGAAAATAATCATCTTCAGTTCGGCTGCTGTGAAGTCTCAAAGTCTCGTGGCTTCCTTCATGCTGGGAGCTGGGAGAGGAGGAGCAGAGCAGGCAGTGAGGTGGGCTCTGCTGTGACTCAGAATGGTGGCATTTCTGTTCTGCCCGCTGGATCGGTGTGGTGGGTCAGTTGGGTAAGCACTGCAGTAAAATTTATTTATTACTGAAAGAATCTTGCTTATTATTAGCTGATAGGATGTAGGGACAGCCAGCCCAAACGAATAGTTTCCATGGGTGCTTTCTGTCCTCCTGCTATTGTCAGTGCAGACAGCGATTCCCTCTCTCCCATTCTTCTCAAACACTTCTTAGGTCTTTTCCTGCCTTCGTGATTCTGCGATAAGGGAGGAGCTGAGTGGAATTGAGGTCAGAGAGAAGAACATGCTTGTCAGCCTGGCCTGGTGGGAAGTAGGGCTGAGTATAAGCATCTCATTGGAGGTTCTTACTGCAGATTCCTCCCATCCCTGAAGGGGCTTCCTCACCTCCCACAGCAGATCATCCTTAGCCCCTTTTGCATCTTCTGGAGCCCAGGGGAATGCTCAATGGGCAGC